CGCATCTCTCCCGGACCTAACACTGCCGCTGGGGAACGAGACCGGTTGTCTCCATTCCCAGGAACTCACACTGGCACTGGGAAATGAGACCAGTTGTCTCCGCTCCCTGGAAGGTACACTGCCGCTGAGGAGGAAGGACAGAACGCATCTCTCCCGGACCTCACACTGCCACTGGGGAACGAGACCGGTTGTCTCCGTTCCCTGGAACTCACACTGGCGCTGGGGAAAGAGGCCAGTTGTCTCCGCTCCCTGGAAGGTACACTGCCGCTGGGGAGAGAGACCGATTGTCTTTACTCCCAATAACTCCGGCTGTGGTTGGGGAGAGGGACTGGTTGTCTCCTTTCCCTGCAGGATACACTGTTGCTGAATTGTGCTAAACAGGCGTTGGTAACTCTGCTCCAGCTCCCATTCCATGCCAAAGTCAATGTCTTCCTCAAAAGCCTCCCACAGCAAGCCCGGTCCATTATAGTCATTACCCTCTGACACACTATCCTCAGCCATCCACTGGTTGCAGCGGGCTGCGTATCACTCTAGCACCTGGTAGCCTTGTCCAGCCACAGCTCCTTCCAGACCAGGTTCTCAAGCTCTGTCACCCACTCCTCCAGAGGCTGCTCTCCCAGGAGAGACAGCCGCATGGCCACTTGTACCTGGAGCCACTGCTCTTCACTTGGAAGGCTCTCTCTCCGCCAAAGCTGAACATCCTCCAGGGCCTCGTACCAGAGTTCCTTCCGATTGGCTTTTCTCCAGTCCAGCATGCCATCCTCTGATACAGGACCATCCCTTTGGTCCAAGTTGCGCTGTAGTCTCCAGAGGAACTTCTCCTCATATATGGACGCTGCCCGGTGACTAGCTCGCTCCATCCTCCTGAGTTCCTCTGCAGACAGGAACGCTGCACGGATGCTAGCACTATCCCTCTAGTCAGTAATCCATACTGTATTCCGGTGTCCCCAGGGTGCTTCTCCACTCGGTAGGAAACCATTCCAGCGCTGCCACCAGATGTGATAGCCACCAGGATAGGAACACGGGTTTCGCCACAAAGGATGTCTTTTTCACTCTCTCAAGAACTCTTCTGCAGCCACTCCAGTAGTAATAGCAATCAAGAGTAGAATTTCCCATGTAGTAAAACTCCAGAGCAGGTATAGCTTTTCCCCATATACATTAGTCGAGACTGACTGCTGGGAGTGAACTCTTTTATTCAGGGCGGCACATGGCCTTTTTATGCAACAGTCCCCTGCAAGGGGTTTCCAACACAACATTACAGGGTCATCCCTCCCATAATCCTCTGTGTCTGAGAGAGAATTCAGTTCCCTCTCAGGTACAGAAAATATTTTTATTTTGTCACACATGGTTTGTTAGGCACAGACCCCTACATGGGGTCTGCAACATATTACAACAGGAAGGGGGAGGGGCACAGACAAGCAATCCATTCAGAAAAGGAAGGGGGAGGCACAGACAAGCAATACATTTTTAAATAGCCCTGACCTGAATCCCATAAGCAGGCAAGTATGTGGGCATGGTACGCAGTGACGGCGTTCCGTCACAATCCAAATCAGTCCCCTCTTCCAGGGAGGGAAAATCATCCTTGCGGAGCCTACATGTGCTGGAATCTGATACATTGCTAATCAGTGAGGACTGAATGGTAAACTGCAGTTTGGCAATTTCCAGCTCATGTCTCCTTTGTGCCTCCCTTCCTGCAGATTGTCTTTCTGCCAACCTTTCTGCAGACTCTCTTTCTGCAGATTCTCTTTCTGCAGCCTGCTGTTGGATCATCATGTGCAGGGCCTCCTGAGGATTTGCAGCCATCAGTTGCCTAAATAAATACATTGAATATCCTTGATGTTTTGAGGGGTACAACCACTAGCCATTCCAGTAAGCAGCGCTCCTGCAGTAGTGGGGAGCTCAGTAACTCTTTCAGTGTCAGTCTTTGGCTGGAAAACATGGCTGTCAGCCTCCACAAGGTCAGCAATAAGTTGTGCCTTGTTTTTGCCAAAAGTTGGTAAATCCCTTTCTTGGCACAACAATTCCAAGGCTTCTTTGGATTGTTTGCGATACGTCTCCATACTCACAAATGGGATAGAAAAAAAAAACAAGAGATGGGGAGGGAAGAACTGTTTTGCACTTTGTATGTATTTTAAATACCAGCTGCCACCAGTTTGTCACGAACGTGGGCTATTGGCCCAGCCGAGACAGTGGGGAGAGTGTGGAAGTGAAAAGGTTTATGACACCAGACCCCTGGTTACCTGTTGCTAGTTTCAGCAACCACAAAATTAACCCCTGCAATTCCTTCTACACTAACACTCTAGTACACACTTTACTGCCACCACCAAGACTTTATACCAGGCGTCTTACGTTACCCCACACACACACAGTGGAATTATAGTATCACAACCTTACTTTTACTGATCAGACATATATGATTAACCCTTTTGGTAACGTGTTTACCTGAGCTTTCCTCAGAAGAGTGAGCTCATAGAGAACAAAGACACAAGCTGATTAAGTAAACATTTAATCTGACAAAAAGGATTCACAGTGCTGTGTATAAAAATACAGAAATACATGACATACAGAAACAAAGATAACAAATTGCAAAACAGTCCATAAAATAACATAGGAGAAAACACAATAAATCCTTACACATAGTTATCCCTTATATATAATTATTGTGGGAGATTCGGATGTTACAGGTCTCCAAGTAGTTGTTGGAAAAAAATAAATCTCTCCCTGGATAGTCCAACACCCTCAATATATATACCTTAAAACTAGTTGTTTCTAAGTGGGCAGACCCCTGTGTTGATCAGAGGGGTTTGGCCTGGCAGTTTATTGCCCACTCCATATTTTCTTTAAATAAGTTGTCCTTTGAAGACCCCAAAGTCAGAGCATATGCACCAATACATGGCAAACCTAGCCACTTCAGACTATTCTTGTATATATCTATGGGTTGTCCTAGAAAAGCTGGTTAACTTATGTGATTTTATGTGTTCGCTTATAAATGTGATAGAGGGCATTCATATGCTAGGGGCACGAAAGCCGCTAGCATTCAGATGCTAGTTTCACGAACAGTGACTTTCAACACTGTTCGTGAAATGAACAAAGTACCGAATAGGAGACCACACACAGGAGGTCGTGTGGCTCCCATTAATAGATTGCAACATTGTAGCGTTCCCCAGTTAATTGATTCGCAGGGGGTGGCTGCCGTTCGGATACCGACCATGCGGCCATCTTGGATTCACTTTTAGCCCAGCGGTGTTCGGTCGTCGAGTGCCTGGAACTAAAATCGGCTACTCAACGGCACGAACACCGCTGGACTTCCAGACCATTTGGGAACACCGGTCTTTCGGTACTTTTCATCAAAATGTGCATTCGTGTGTTTTATTGATAATTCATGTTAAACTGTATTTTATGTGGCGTTCAGCTGATTGTGCTGGGATCTGAGCAGTAATCTACCGAAGTATGCGCTCAGATCCCAGCTATCTACCTATAGGTCATTCGATACAATAGCCCAAATAATGTGCCAGTTATGTATTTTTAAGTGAAAAGCCCGGTTCTGCTGTACGGAGGGATAATCCACTTAACAGGATATTCTGTGGGAGTATCCCTCTCGTACAGCAGTGCATGGTGGGAGAAATGTCTTGCATGTTCAGTTCCCCATGTAGTCCCCTACTGTATAACCCCTGTAAAAGGACTAAGGAATCCCCTTGCATGGGGAACCACATAAATACTGGAGCATGTGAATAAAATCGGCAGTTGACTACCAGAACTGTGTTTCATCCGGTTACTGGGGGGATTTGGGATATTGCCTTCATTCCAGCGCTTTTCTCGGATTACTTTCTTTTACCAGCGGAGATATTGGGATTTAATATTGCAGCTCTGCTACAATTGGTGGCAAGCGACGGGATCCAACCTTACAGCTGAAAAGCGGTGTTCGGGCAATTGAAACTGCCGAACGGAAAAGTGAATGGCAATTCGTATGCAACAAAGAACCGAACACAGAGGTGAATGGAGACAAATTATACTGCATTGAAACAGCAGACGTTGAAGGAACTATTAGAAGCCAGGGGTAAAATAGCCAGTAATAAGTCGAACGCTGTGCTTATTGCCGAACCGATGGAGGGAGACAGAGCTCGCAGCGTTACACCTCCACCAGACATGGAAGAGACCCAATTCCAGTAAGAGATGAGGACCAGGCTGGAATTCTTACCCCATCCAGTACCTCTGGAAATGCTGACGGTACTGATGGCGGATGTGCAGGAGTATGTGATGGCACACAGACCGCAGGATTTACCCTCAGGAGCAGAATCTACTGCTGCTTCAATCACCAGCCAGGTAAAGCCCAAGATACCGCATCATGCTTTTAAAATGTTTTGTGAAGACAAAGATGAGATTGATGGGTACCTACAGGATTTTGAAAGACTGTGTGATCTGCATGATCTGGAGCAGGCAGTGTGGGTACCCTTACTGGCAGGCAAATTATCCGGTCGGGCAGCAGAAGCATACCGGGCCATGCCCAGAGAGGACAGCAAAAATTATGCCAAGGTAAAACAAGCAATATTGGAGAGATATGCCATTACCCCGGAGGCATACCGGCGCAAGTTTAGAGGACTGCGCAAACCGGATAAAGACTTCTAAGCAGAGTGGGCACACAAACTTGATCAAGCCTCCCAGGGGTGGATGCAAGCTAGCCAAGCTACCACCATGGAGGAGTTATGCCAGCTGCTATTGTTGGAGCAATTTCTCAATGGTCTGACACCAGAGGCACAAGAATGGGTGAGAGATAGAAAACCCCTCACCCTAACAGAAGCTGCACGGCTGGCGGACCAGCACTATGACGCTAGGAGGCATCATGGCAACCTCAATCGAGGGTATCCTCGACCCACTACCCAGGCACCTACAGCTACTACCACCGCACCCACAATAGCACCATTCCGGCCAGCAACTGGGGGGCAAACCCCACCGTCCCGATACAATGGCCGGTCTAATATTCAGTGCCATACCTGCAAGCAATGGGGCTACATGGCGAGAGAGTGTACGCAGAACCGGAGCCATCAAGCATGGAGCCAAGTAAGACCGAACCCAGCACCACGAGCAGCCGCGCACCACTACCAGGCAGAGCCAGCACCCCAGGAGCTAATGTTTAATCACACCAAAGAGCCCCTGGGAATACTGCATGACCCTTACCCAAACCCAGTCCCTCCGGCAAGAAGTACATCTTGACCGTGGTTGATTACGCCACCAGGTACCCCGAGGCAGTAGCCCTCCCTAATATTCACGCAGAGATGGTGGCAGAAGCCTTAATAAAAGTATTTTCCTGGGTGGGGTTCCCACAGGAGATAATCTCAGATAGGGGTACGCAATTCACAGCCGAAGTAACCCACCAACTCTGGAAAATATGTGGCATTCAGCCTATTGTGAATTCTGCTTACCACCCTCAGTCCAATGGGTTATGTGAAAGGTTCAATGGAACTTTAAAGCAGATGCACTGTACATTTGGAGAGGCCCATAAGGACTGGGAGCAATTTTTACCCCATCTGCTGTTCGCCTACAGAGAGGTACCTCAAGAGTCCACTGGGTTTTCCCCCTTCAAATTATTGTTTGGGAGAAGGGTGAGAGGACACCTAGATTTAATTAGAGAGCATTGGGATGGGATACCCATTGTACCATATGTGTTGGAGTTCAGGGACCGCTTGGAGGCACTAACCCAGACCATACAGGTAAACCTCCAGGCGGCTCAACAACGCCAGCGCCGATGGTATGATAGGGGAGCCAGGGACCGCAGCTTTCAAGTGGGACAGAAAGTTTTGATTTTAAAACCTGTCCGCAATGACAAGCTGCAGGCCATCTGGCAGGGCCCATACCAGGTGGTGGAACAGAGATGTGACACCACTTATGTGATTGGACCCTGCTCAGGGGTAGGGAAGAGATGCATGCTCCATGTGAATATGCTCAAACCCTACCATGAGAGAATAGAGGACGTGGCAGCTATATGCGCATCAGCCTCTGAGGATCAGGAGAATCTTCCGTTACCCGATTTATTATAGCGAGAAGATCAGGCAGAGAACTCCACGGGTGTTCAGCTGGGGGAGCGGCTAAGTCCTCATGAGCGTGCCCAGGTACAGGAGTTAATTGCGGCTAAGGGAGCCACTTTCTCAAATTTACCAGGGTACACCCCGCTAGCCACTCACCGGGTAGAGACCCCAGGACAGCTACCGATGCGTCAGACCCCATATCGTATCCCTGAAGCAGTCAGGGAACATATACGGAAGGAAATTGAAGAGATGTTGCAGCTAGGGGTTATCGAACACTCCGATTGACCCTGGGCATCGCCGGTAGTGCTAGTACCCAAGAAGGATGGCAAGACACGCTTCTGTGTTGACTACCGGAGGCTAAATGACAAAACAGTGTCTGATGCCTACCCGATGCCCCGGATAGACGAGCTGCTAGATAAGATGGCACAAGGCCAGTACCTCACTATGATTGACTTGTGCAAAGGGTACTGGCAGATTCCCTTAGCCGAAGATGCCATTCCCAAGTTGGTGTTTGTCACCCTGTTTGGCCTGTACCAGTTTCGAGTCATGCCGTTCAGTTCCCCATGTAGTCCCCTTGTGTATAACCCCTGTAAAAGGACTAAGGAAACCCCTTGCATGGGGAACCACATAAATACTGGAGCATGTGAATAAAATCGGCAGTTGACTCCCAGAACTGTGTTTCGTCCGGTTACTGGGGGGATTTGGGATATTGCCTTCATTCCAGCGCTTTTCTCGGATTACTTTCTTTTACCAGCGGAGATATTGGGATTTAATATTGCAGCTCCGCTACAAATACCTTTTTACGATGCCCTACGGTCCAGCTCTGGTGATGGTTATCTGGTAGTTTTATGGCTTAGGCCTGGTGTAAGATCAAAGCCTACAATAAAGGTTATCTCAACATGTACAAAAACAACTCCTAAAATATATCAAATGCCAACTCATGCTTTGGCATGACAAGTTATATTTTATATCCAAGTCTATATCAATGTCTAATATAGTATACCCGTTTTGTCCTACATATCTTATCGCCATTTACTTGTAGATATATTTTCAATTTTATTTGTAGATATTGTTACTTTTTACAAAATAATTTTTAAAAATCAATAAAAAGTGTAAGCAATATAAAATGTATTTTACTGTTAAAAATACAAAAAAAAAACTACACTTGTTTACTTGAGATTATATATACATGTGTTTTTGTGTCTAGGGGTGTATTTTCTGAATATGCTACTGTGTTTTTTATGTTTAAGTTCTAGAACCGCTCTAATCCTGTTTTTGAATAACGTTTGAGACATTTTAATTAAGGAAACCTAAGTAATTTGAAGAACCATATTTGAATTGCACCATAACGCTACTGTGTATCACAATACAGAGAGTGGATCACACTCTAAGACCTAAGTTTGAGAATTACGTGTCATGAGTCAAAATATTGTCTGGTCACTCCTAAAATAAAAGCATATATATTTATTAGATTTTATTTTGATTGTCGGTGATTTAGGTAGGGATTTAAGGTCCGCTTGTTGTTACCTCTGCATATTTACTGAAGAAATATTTTGAGCGAACTCACAATGATATTATCCTATTTAGAATGAATAATTGTATTCAGTCCCTGTCCTGATATTAGCAGCCGAGTTCAATTTTCCCGCAATACCATGTGATTCTGTTTTGTCAGTTTTTCACGGTTTGAGTAATTCAATTAGCGTTGTATTTAGAGCTTGTATTGTGTTATCTGAGCAGCCGTTATCTTCCTTGCCCTAAGATCCAATTACTATCTGCGTCACTAAGAAAATTAAGTTGAATTCAGTGGAAACAAAAAAACAGAAGGTCAATAAATATAATCTTAAAATTCTTAGAGTGTTAAAGCTTCGGAATTCTATAACTTATCAATTTTGAAGTCGCCCATTATAATCTTTTAAATTTCCTGACCAAATGAGGCTGTATCATCCCTATGAGACAGTGGGGTCTATCTTGTGTTTGAAATCATTTTTCAAAGTTAAATTGCTGCAAATTACATTTCTATTTTAGGTTTCCTTTACAAATATAATCATGAAATGCTAATATTTGGCTCATGTGAGCATGAATCCAAAAGCTAGCAAGTGAGGCATGTCATAAGTCATGTAGTATGCTAAAATAAAAAAAAATCATTAATATCTCTCTGTCTCTCTCCCTCCCCAGCCCCCCTTCTAGAACCCTAGTCCAACTTCATCCCCCACCCCACCCAGTATTCCTCTCCTGTCTTCCTTTTAATTAGTATCACCCTCAGCTTCCTCTGTATCACCCTCAGCAGCTGAGGGCTGCAGACTCACGTGGAGGGGAGGGGGAAAGGTCTCAGTACATCCCCAAGGCGGTGGCTAGAGCCTGTGCCCTCCCAAAGCTCCCTCCTCCCGGCTGTCAACCAGGAAGAGGGAGACTGCGAGGACCGGTTTATTGACAACAACAAGATCAGCAGCAGCCCTGGCAGCCCTTGGATTTATGTATCTCATTAAAAAGTAAGTGAGAGCAGGGGTGCCAGTCCTTCTGGGTATGTTAGCTTGTGCCCATTACAGGGTCAGGGGTCTCAGCTGGGCTGATTAGGATTCAATAAAATAACTGATTAGAAAGACACATTGCAGTGCCCATAGGGAGTTCAGCTAACTACACTGATTTAATCCCTCACTAGATCTGGCTCTTTAGCTGCAGGGACTCAGACTCTTATCAGGCTCAGCCAGACACATTTTCATAGATACTGCTTTTTTTATTAATGGTTTGAAAGTTAAAAAAGCACTGATTCAGCTTGCTATGGTTATTAAAGAGTATATTATCAGCCTGCCAGTACTGGGAGTTTCTGAAGAAGTGACAGAATGTTGGTGTCTCTTATTGTGCCATATGTTGCCATTTCACAAAAAAAAAAAATGTAAACATTCTTGTATCTGGGTGCCTGCAGGGGATTTCAGGGTTACCGCACCTCTTTGATTGTTGAATTGAATTGTGAAAAAAACCCTCACAGACAGTGTTATTAATAATAATAGTGATATTGTATTTTATTACAACCTCCACCATATGTGCATGGTTATAGAGTGAGTTTTATATTCCACAAATTGATTTGCAGGATTGCCACAGTTCTAAGTTTAGAGCTATATTCGTACAGATGAACACATACATACTAACATTAAGTGAAAGAAGACAAAAGAACATTGTTATTAAATAATTATCAATTTAAAAAAAATAAAAATTTATTTTGCTTTATTTCCTATGTATTGCATAGCATTTGCAGGACATGGTCTGTGTGTAGCTTGTAACTTGCACATTATCTTGCCAGTGTCCTGAATAGGGTGCCACTTTATTACACATTTTAGGGAATGTATCGGGAACACACATCGCACCGTTGATGTCAGGAATAGAGGTGGACACAGTAGGGGCTTTAGCAGTATTTCTTATTATGCTCTGAAAGTCCTGCCACAGAATGTATACTTGAAGCAACATTTATCTTTTCCCAATTGCTTCCTTTTCCTCTTTCCTACTCTGTCTTTCTTGTTTTTAATTGTTCATCTATTTCTAGGGACTACTTTGTCTCATATATTTTCTTATGCCTGAGTTTCGTTGACACTGGGCAGAGCTACCGACGTTAAAAAGTAACTCTCCCTGCTGTCAACAGTGATTGCTGCAAAAAATGTGTTCCGTCTCATGGGATCCTCCATAGACCTCAATGCTGTACTCTTACCCATGCGTGAGAGTTCAGCAGTGACTTTGGCTCCAGGTACTGAAAAGGACCTGCTGGATGAAGATGGCTGCGCTCACGAGGGACAGGTTCAGATAAGCCCTCTCTCCCCAGCCCACTGGAACTCCAGCGGCGATATTACCGTATGGGGGTCTTTTCAGATTTTGCAAAATCCACAGATGGTGACAGTATTGCTTTAAAGGAACACTCCCAGCAACATAACCTCTCGATTGCGCTGTTGTGGTCATGGTGCCCAGGTGCACAATAACGTAATTACTCAAACCATTTGATAACTTACCTGTAGTTCACCAAGCACCAGCTACCTTTTCCATTGGTGAGAGCGATCAGCTAGTGCTCTTATTTAGCAACGTGGCCCTGCGTGGCGGGATTTTTCTCCGGAGAGCAAACGGTATGACTACTTACATTGGGTGGACACCAGGTCACTCCTGGCACCATAACGAGCATACTCTGTATTGAGTATGATGTTTGTAGTGTTCCTTTAAGAAAAAGTACCACTACTAATTTGTATTTCCTATCCTTTTGTGTAAATTATTTAGAATGTAAGCTCTTTGGAGCAGAGCCCTCACCATATTCTGTTCCTATACATGCAACTTGTCCTGTGGCAACTACTTGTTTTTTGCCCGCCTATTGTTCAGTGCTGCGGAATATGTAATATTAATTTTATACATAAACCAATAGATAAAGCAAGGTGAAATCAGAATTTTGACAAATTTCTCGTTGCCCAGCCATTTCCTTATCAAGTATTGCAAGTAAACACTGGCGGAAATGCTATTTTCTCAAGCATTGTGTAAAAATTGCCGTGGCATTTACATGCACAAGAAAGTCTGTAAAAGGTTATCGAGTCTAGCAAAATCTTCTGCAGAAACCAGTTTTGAACTCTTGTGCATATACTCCAGAGATGATGCAGTTTTTTTATTTTGGCAGGAGGCAGAAAGAATATGGTAACCTTCTGAATTAATAACTAGAAGAGAAACTACCACCAATCCTTTGCTATGTCAGTGGAATGTCATCCAATGGACTTGTCACCTAAATGCATCTGTGCAACCACCCCCCATAAAAAAAAGAATAAATAGAGTTGTCGTTAAGAGGAGAGGTGCATAAACATTAGGTAACTGAATAAACATTAGGGTTAGCCTAGAGATGGCATATATCAATAGTCACGTGGATGGGGGAAAATAATAAATGGGTTTTAAAGGAAGATCAAATGAGAGGAAATATGGAATGTGTGAAGAAGTTCAGGAGTCACTCAACTCTAGCACCTTCACCACTAATGGAATTGGGAGTGTGGAACAAGAGTACTGAATTGGGGCAGTTTATGTTTGTTTTGACTATCAAAGGACTTGAGACAAAATAGGGAACTGCTTATAATTTTAATTCAGCAATTCAAAATCAAAACTGTAGATATTTTGTTCCCCTCCCACGGTGTGTGTATATTGATGTAATTGGATAGTGAGTACATTGTTAAACACAGATCTGTACACATCAAACAAGCCATTAGACTTGATTTTCCCACAGAAATCTCACATTTGCAGTGCTGTTACTACTGCAAGGGATTCTGGGTTGGCATATTCAAATGAGTTCTACAAAGAATCACTTTCTTGCCTCCTTATTCCATTTTATACCTGCATTCATTGTAGTATATGTCTGATTTTAAACACACTCCGTAAGAGGTGCAGAGCCAGATAAACACTCACGGACAGCTGTTTCGTTGTCAGTGCACATCATATGTACACACACACGCATTCTCTCTCTCTCTCTCTCGCTCCGATTTCCTGTTTCCAGATTTTCCAGTTTTTCAGGGTGTTGAATTTGCTAATTAAAAAATAATTAAGAATAAAAAAAAAAAAAAGTAATTCAATATGGCAGTATCCCAAAGTTATTAACAGGGACATTCTTCAGTATGTTTAACAATCGTATTTTAAGGCATTTGTACCATGTATATTTATTTAGCTTTGCAATTTGCATTGAACTCCTTCGGCACCTACATTTGGTTTCCCTTGCACTGGTTTGGTTTCCCTTGCACTGGTACTGTCGCAAGAGTTCGCTGTTCTATAGTTCCTGTGCCATATGCCTTGTAAAGTCTTTGTCCATCCTGCATCAAGTTCTCAAGCAGCACATCTCTGCAATGGAATCCTGGGTTTTCATATAATCCACAGACCAAGATGAAAAAGCCATAGGGTATGTCAAAGCTCACTTCCGAGCAGCTTAGGACTGACACGTCAGCTCTAGCCTGGATAATCAGGACCAACCTCCATTAACTAACTCACATTAAGACCCAGGAGACCATCACAGCTATCATTGTAGATGTAAAGCTATGGAAGATGTCCTCAAAGAGATACTCCCAGCTACTTAACCCATACAGTATCTGTGCAACAAATGGCACTTCCACATTAGCCCTGGTGATCTTTTTTCTCACGTTTATTAGACTCTAATTCATTCCATTGGGTAAGCAGCCATGTGCAAACTGTATGCTCACTGCAGCCTCTTTGACAACATAAAAGGGTGTTAGGGAGGTGTGGGAATTTTACTGCCATTCTATGTAGTTACGTATACTCATCCCACGATTTTCAGAATTTTGAGAAAGACCATTTGCCATGACTCTTCCTTTAACTTGCATTATCCAAAGTGGTTTTAATAACTTTATCTTGGTTAGCTGGGTAATTGGAGATACATTGGTGTAGAAAATCGGTGATATTTACTAAGATGAATATAACTTCTTGTAAGGACATGCTGAGAAATGGCTAATTTTGTCGTGTTTGTGTTTTAAAGGTTATGTCAGCATATTTTCTTGACACATTCCATAGGGCCTTCATCTAGTGACTCATCTTGAAGCTTTTACCTCAAGAGACTTCTTATGGCAACGTTTGGTGATACAAAACTTCCCTTTAACAGGGAAACTTATTAACAGAAAAAAAAGTAACAATAGGTATTTTAGAAACTAAACATGAAATAAGTCCTGCATCTAAAAAAGCATCGGAAAATATACTCTGAACAAAGGATATCACAGGTTCATGAATAAAAGGAAAATAACATGCTATTGGTTTTCTGCAAAAAAAAAAAAGATTATTATTACCATTTGTTGCTGAATATGGGGCGTTCCCCACACAGTGAGATTTAAAACATGAAAAATGTTTTGTTCATGAGGAAGTTCCTTTAAAGAACACTATAGGCACCCTCTGAAACTGCTATGTTTTCAGCTGCAGGGTTAAAACTAGAGGGACCTGGCACCCAGACCACTTCATTGAGCTAAAGTGGTCTGGGTGCTTATAGTGGTCCTTTAACACAAGTCCATCCGTAGTTTCCTAACCCAGTCCCAAGGCACGAGCAATCCACGTTTTGTAGCCTCATTAAAACAGAACCAGGCGATCCCTAAATCCTGGACCATTGACCAACCTTGTGAAACCTTCCAGAAATAATCAATTGTATTTGTGCAGTTCTGTTATTTGTTGTAATTTAAATTTATTTTCATTCAATGTTTTTGCAATACTTTTTTCTAAATAATAATCTTATATATTTTTCCACCCACAGTGTCCGAGGACTCCCCTTGTAATGCTCACTCCACGTATAGCCCCTCTGAAGTAATCAATTCCGAAGAGCAAGAGGCCTTATTGACGGAGAATCAAATAAACCATTACTATGCCCGGAAACCAAAGGACCGTTATAATAGCACGTACATTATATTTTTCATGTTGGGGGTCGGTTCTGCACTGCCATGGAACTTTATCTGCACCGCAAAACACTACTGGATATACAAGTTCAGGAACTGTTCAGATACACCAATCATTGAACAGCCTACCGTTTCTGACTTAAGTGTGAGTATAACTTTATTTTAATGGCAAAATAATTGATATGTTTGAAAGCAGGAGAAGCCAATGCTTAGCTCTTCAGCTGTTTAAATATGACTTCTACGATGCTTTGCTCGACATTATAGCAATTTGCAATAATTAAATCTTCCTGCCGATGAATTTATGACTCTCCAAAAATTTTACTGTATATGAGGAGTAGCACCAGGCGAACCACAGGTAGGAAGACAAACTGTTAAAAAATTGTTTGACTCCTTACAATTGGGGGAGGGAGATGCAAGGACAATCCTGGCACCATGACCATTACAACAAGCTGTAGTTTGCTTGTCTGGAGTGTTCCTTTAAACTGGTTGTTTTAATCAAGTAATTATGCGATCATCTTAACAACTCAAACATCAGTTACACTGTTTACCCAAAATATGTAAAAGGAGTGAATAATTGGACCTGGAGATGTCATTGATCAGTGAACTATGGTGACCATGCTCATTTAATTAAAATAACCCCATTACATTGACACATGTTGCCAAGTCATGTGATATTCAGACACAGACAGAGGGTCATTCATCAAAGTGTGAATTTCCCTGAATTCAAAGGGTATATAAAATTTTTAGAAAATGGCCAAACTAAATACACAGCACTGACGTTGATATTTTATCGAGTTAGTCTACTTTGATCTAAAATGTGATATTCACTTTCAGTTCAGTGAATAACTCTGTGACACCATTACACAATCAGAGCACCTTCACAAAAATGAAATACATTAAAGAAAAGTCATAATTTTAAAGAAAAAAATAAATTTATATATATAGACACACACACACACATTAATATATGTAGCCTAATTCTACTGTACTCAGCATTGAATTACTCTTTGTTTCAGCATAAATTGTTGAGGAACCTAATAGTTGGTGGTCATGTGACTCTGGTCTTTAACATGATTCATTTGAAAACATCTTGCATTCTAACCTATGGACTGACGGCAAATTGGGCAACATGGTATGAAACTTACAAAGCAAACTTCCTTGTCTAGTGAAGACAGTCACTTATTAGAAAGCGGTTTCAGCTATACCACTGGATTGATGTTTAAAAGGATACTCCAGGCTCCAGCAGTTGTTATGCATTATAAAGAAAGGAGGGGAGATCATGAAGCTGCTGCACTTGCCCTGGCAAGCTGCATCAGCAAAATATCCCCTCGTAGACCACGAAGATACTGCACCAATCAGGAGTCTATTTCTGGTCTATCTAGATCTGATCTTTTCCAATAACTCCATGTCCAACAAGTATTTTAAGGGTTACACGAACCAAAAACAGTTTTATAAAACACTAAAGTTCACAGGACATTAGGAATTCAGCTAAGCATGTATGAAAAGGATTAAAAAAAACAGCACCATATGGTGAAACACAGTTACATACAATGCAATATGCACCATAAAGTTACACTCTCAGAATGTAGTGAAATTTGGCATCTTGGTGTACCTCCCCATGAGATATCACACTGGGATGCGTGACAACATGGTGTTGGAATGCAGGAAACAATGGACATGCATGATCACATGATCACGAGTGGTGGAACGCATCCAAAATTGAGCTGAAACGGAATTGGTGAGCGAGAAATAGGAAGTTACACATTTTGGATATTGTGGCCAGCTGTGCCGAAAGAAGGGCACTTCTTAAGCACCTGAAGTAGAGGAGCATCATCCAATGAGGTGGGAAGGATGGATCCACACCCACTGAAACACCAATGACCTATTTAAAGAGAATGGGGAGGGTGGTTAGTTAATATAACACCTTAAAGTGTTGTATATATTAATATTTAAAATTTGTCCTTGAGGAAGTCCACATTTGTGGAGGAAATGTGTTGGACTATTTTTACAAATTTTATTTTGGTGATATGTTTTTTAAAAATATATATTTAATTTTGTATTATTAAAATTTTGAAATTAAGTGGCTATTGTTGCAGTGACTTAATATCTGTGGACCACGGTTCTGATTGAAGGAGGCAAAGAAGGTTTAGCCCCTCAGCCTACATCAGGGGAGGCATCCCAAGGCGCCAAGTTTCACTACATTCTGTGAGTGTGAAGAAAATAGACTTGATTTCGGGATTTTCTTCTGTCATTTGTTTATTTTAAGTTGTATTGGTTCGGTAGATTAAACTACCGAACGCAGACCACCCTGCTGGCTCATTATCTACAAAGGGAACCATCCATTGAGCGCTCTCTCCGCGGCCACCGTTTGCATAGTCGAATGCCATGTGGAAGAGAAAACGGAGGCCATCTTGTTTGCACGAAAGGGAGCAGCGGGACTTGGTCGTCGAGTGTCTGGAACTAAAATCGGACACTCGACTTCCTGAACACCGCTGAAAACATTAGAACGTCTGCTTCCTTTTGTTGCTGAACAGCTAGGAGAGCGCCGTTCGGTAGTTCGGTTCCCACGAACAAGGGGAACAATCACTTCTATGAGCCAGGAGGCTCCATTCGTGGTTTTATTCGTTTTTATGCACTTTTCAAAATTAACCAACCGCACACACTGTATTCATGGAACTGTTTTGGGCAGGAGCCTCGTGTGCGGTCTGTGACCTAAGACTTCCACACTTTTTGAGAACCCCAAGGTATCCCCACAAATGACATGTCCCCTGATAGCCTCGATCTGGGTGAAATTTGAATATGTTGAGCCCCCAGATCGGGGCTATCAGGTGACATGTCATTTGTGGGGATACCTTGTGTGTCCCAAGTTTTGGGGAAATTGTGTGTCCTTTGCCTGGAGATAATTGGGTTATCCTACTTATCTCCCAGGCAGAGGAAGGGGGGTTTTACTGTAAATCTGTATTATGATTGGTTGTCACTTTTGTTTACTGTGGGAGGTCCTCTTGCAGGAGTATTTCCATAAAAGTCAGTGTGGCATCAATAAAACATGATTCCTGTTGTACACTTAATGAAGTCTAGGCTCATTCTTGGGTAACCTTTATTTGCTGGGGAGATTCGTTTTGGAAACTGCATTCATCTTTACTATTCCTCTACACCCTAGCTGCAGCTGTTATCACTTATGCTCAGCAATTGGAAAGGGAATAGGCGAACTAAGTACCATAACCACTGACGTTCGTAACAGTAACTTTGTAGCGCATATTGCATTGTATGTAACTGTGCTTCACCAATTCAATATTTTATATTTCGTTTTTTTATAAAACACTATAACACTAAAGAACCATACTGGCACAGTCCTTTCCACATAAAGAAAAGGGAATAATGAAATAATGAATGACATCCATTCGTCAGGAAAACAAAATGCTGCACAGATTCCAAGTACCATCATCACTTCAAATTCTACAGTTCAGGGTGCTTGGAGTAAGCATGGTAACTCTTTAAGGCAGATAATGTTAAACCCAGGGGTCAAGTTGTAACCAGATAAACGTAAGAATGTCTCATGTTCAAAACTTTTTACATGATCTCATTTGATTCCTCTCTTAACCATTCATCTTGACATTTATATTTGCTGTTAAAGTGTCTAAATGTGATCTTCTATAGGGTGTAGTTCAAGTCATTTCACTATTACCAGTGGCGTGCTAAGGGTTGGGGGGGTCCATGATTCAGGGCCAGGGATGTGTGAGCTGTGCAGTCGCACAGGTCACCATGGCAGCTGGAGCACCGGGAGGCCAAAACAGCTTATACATGCAGGGACAGAAAGCCACTTTTCTTCAAAACCGGACGCTCAGAAGGAAAGTGGGGACAGAGCCAACCCGGCAGTGGTTGTGTGGCCAAGCAGGTGTCGGGGGCAGGGCTTAACACGGCTCGCACCCACTGCTGTTACTGCTGCACAAGTAACAGACTACAGGGAGGGACAGTGAATCCACTCCTCCAGCCCATACTGTCAGTAAGTGAGAGTGTGTGTGTGTGTGTGACTGTCTGCATATGACTGTGTGTGTGTGTGACTGTCTGCATGTGATTGTGTGTATGTGACTGTGTCCCTCTAACTGTGTGTGTGACTGTCTACCTGTAACCATGTGTGTGCCTGTAACTCTGTGTGTGTGAGTGACTATCTACCTGTGACTGTGTGTGTGTGTGTGTGTGTGTGTGACTTTCTGCCTGTACCTGTGTGTGACTGTCTGTAACTGTGTGTGTCTATGACTGACTGCCTGTGACTGTGTGTGTGCCTGTCTGACTGCGACTGTGTGTGTGCCTGTCTGACTGCGACTGTATATGACTGTCTACCTGTGATTGTATATGTGATTGTGTGTGTGTGTGTGTGTGTCTGTCTGCCTGTGAATGACAGCGTGTGACTATCTGCCTGTGAACTGTGTGTGTGTGTGTGACTTCCTGCCTGTAACTCTGTGTATGTGACTGTCTGCCTGTGACTCTATGCATGACTGTCTGGCTGCGACTGTGTGTATGTGAATGTCTGCCTGTAATTGTGTGTGTGACTGCCTGCATGTGACTGTGTGTGTGTGTGTGACTGTGTGTGTGTGTGTGACTTTGTGTGTGTGTGTGTGTGTGTGTGTTTGTGTGACTGTCTGCATGTGACTGTCTCCCTCTAACTGTGTATATGTGTGTGACAGCCTGCTTGTTACTGTGTGTGTGATTGTCTACCTGTGACTATGTGTGTGTGTGACTGTCTACCTGTGACTATGTGTGTGTGTGTGTGTGTGTGTGTGACTGTCTGCATGTCTGTCTCCCTCTAACTGTGTGTATGTGTGTAACTGTTTGCAACTGTGTTTGTGTGTGTGTGTGTGTGTGTGTGTGTGACTGTCTGCCTGTAACTGTGTGTGTATGACTGCCTTTGACTGTCTGCCTTTAACTGTGTGAGTGAAAATCCAGCGCACTCCATTATCTACTAAACAGCAACTTTGGTGCTGACAGATTTTGTTAGTTTTTTAAAAAAACACCTAATCTAGGCAAAAAATAATGGGTGTTTAGTTACATGATATGATCATACATTGCATAAGCCTGGCACAACGTCAATGTACCCCATAATTGACAGGTCCTACTATAACAGCCAAATGTCTGCTTCATGAGCTACTTACTTGGGTAAAAAATGTAATCTCGAGTTCTCGGCAGTACAAGGCTAAATATGGCCCAGGGATGAGGTACCTGTGACATGGAGGGGTGCAAAACCAAGGAGTTGGCTAGACTCCTAAATAAATATTATATATATATATATATATATATATATATATATATATATATAGATAAAAAGAGGGGTCTGGCTGCACTCACCTAAACATGCATAAGTAGTACAATAAAAATGAAAATCCAGCGTACTCCATTATCTACTCCTTATCTGCCTCATCCCAATGCCCTATTTAGCCTTGTACTGCAGAGAACTCGAGATGGAATTTTTTCCCCAAAGTAAGTAGCTCATTTAATAGACATTTGGCTGTTAGAGGAGAACCTGCAAAGATGGGGTACATTGATGTTGTGGCAGGCTTATGCAATATATGATCATATAATGTAAATAAACCCCCATTATTTTTTGCATAGATTAGGTGTTTTTAAAAAACTAACAAAATCTGTCAGCACCAAAGTTGCTGTTTAGTAGATAATGGAGTGCGCTGGATTTTCGTGTTTATTTAACTGTGTGAGTGACTGTCTACCTGTGACTGTGTGTGTGTGTGTGTGTCTGACTGTAACTGTGTGTGTGACTGTGTGCCTGTAACTGAGTGTGTGTGACTGTCTGTCTGTAACTGTGTGTGCATGACTGCCTGTGACACTGTGTGTGCCTGTGACTGTGTGTGACTGTCTACCTGTGACTGAATATGTGACTGTGTGTTTGTGTGTCTGTCTGTGACTGTGTGTGAGTGTTACTATCTGCCTGTGACTGTGTGTGTGTGTGTGACAGCCTGCCTGTATCTGTGTGTGTGTGTGTAAGACTGTCTGTAACTGTGTGTGTGTGTGTAAGACTGTCTGTCTGTAACTGTATATGTGACTGCCTATGACTCAGTGCGTGACTGTCTGGCTGTGACTGTCTGCCTGTAACTGTGTGTGTGACTGCCTGTGACTCTGTGCGTGACTGTCTGTCTGTGAGTGTCTGCCTGTAACTGTGTGTGTGACTGTCTGCATGTAACTATGTGTGTGTGACTGTCTGCCTGTGATTGTGTAATGCTACCTGTAACTGTGTGTGTGTGTGTGTGTGTGTGTGTGTGACTGTCTGTCTGTGACTGTGTGCGTGTGACTGTCTGCCTGTAACTGTGTGTGTGTGATTGTCTGCCTGTAACTGTGTGTGTGTGGGGGGGGATTGCAGGGATTTTGTAGAAGGGGCAGGGGTTTTGTAAAAGGGGGCCTGAGCAGAGGATTTGTGGAAGGGAGGTGCAGGGGTTTTGCAGAAGGGGGCAGTACAGGGTTTATAGAGGGGGGCAGGACAAGGGTTTTTTAGGAGGGGGTGGGGCAGAACAGAAGTTTTGTAGGAGGGGACGGGGCAGGACAGGGGTTTTACAAAGTTTTCAAATTTGTGCAATACATTAAAAAACATAAACAAAACATTGTCAAAGTTTTGCTGGTATTTTTACAGTTTGTTTTTTTTTTGGAGAGGGGGGTGGGGGGTTACCAAACACAGGATCTTCCCCGGGAGCTAAATGCTCTAGGTATGCACCTGACTATTACCAGTCCTGGTAAATCTGGCATGCTATTCATGCTTTAAATTCTCCCTTTTTGCTTATATTACTCGCGTAGATATTGCTGTCCCTGCATGTATGTATAGTGTGTGTTAAGGATTGTATAAATACAATATAGAGCCTAAAACATAAAAACCACAACCTATGTATGTACTTGAGAATATGTGCAGTTCTCAAGAGATATCAATACCATATATCCCCAAACTCTGAATATTTGTCTGTTAAAAGAAACACCATAACCACTACTAATGCAATATCCTGCCAACTCATACCAGGTTTGGACAGAATTCATTGGCTCAGCATCAGCTGACAACGCTGTGCCAGTTTAGTATAGAACATTACACATATCCAACATACACATAATATGAGGTTTTAATCATTCCTAGCAAATAGTTTTTTTAACTACAGAATGAAAGAGAATTGAACAGGGAGACAGCAGGGGCATGATCTATACACCAAAACTACTTCAATAAGCTAAAAATTGGTTTGGTTTCTATAGTGTCCCATTAATGAAGGCAGTATCTCAAATGAACTACCTTTAGTTGATTTCCTTGCAGCATATAAATTCTGCTCACTGTAGGGCAGCACTTTTCATGTAATGTCCTTTTAGTATTATTTATGAATGCCCAGACGAGGGATCGGAAACCGAAATCAAAGTGATTTGCCAACTTTTTTTTATGAAGTGTGTTAAAGGAAATGTGGTTATACAAGCATGATGCTGTAGTCTAGTTAATTAGAAGTGCGAGACTGTACGTTATAACTCATCCAGCTTGCATAATATCTGCTGACACAAATGTATTTGATACAAACATTTAAATAAAAACATATTTGTCATGCCTTCTATTTTAACCCGTGGAGTACCAGGACAAGTTTCATTGTGGGATTTAGTCACTAAAAACCAAATTGTAGTTCACTGAAAACCAAAACCAATTGAGCAGTTTGCCTGAAAATGGGGTTACTCAATTGCTTGCTCAAATTTCCAATGTGTAGGTTTCAATTTTGTAATAAAAATATCAGTTTCATCCATATTTGGATGCCATTGATTGGACAACTGTGTCAACTAGCAAGCTCAGCCAACAATCTTGTCGAAATATGGAGCAAATTAATATTGCCAATATGGACGTTCCACTACGGCATAGGCAATTCAGGAGTGCAGGTGCCTCAAGGGGCATCATATTTATTTATTTATAAAATATTTTACCAGGATGGGCACATTGAGATTTTCAAGTATGTCCTGGGTCCACAAAACATTGCATTGTTACAATAGGATACAATATTACAAAAATACAATATACAAACTATAAATATATATATATATATATATATATATATATATATATACATACACACATATATAAATTTAATACATAACAGGTAATAAATATATTCTAGATTTTAGATTGAATGAAGATTTGACTGTGTCCCTGAGGTTATTCCATAATTGCGGTCCTCTGTAGAAAAATGAGGATCCAGCCACTTTATTTTTGTATTGCGGTATGCGAAATATCGTGCTGGTACTGGATCGGAGGTTATAGGAGGTGGCAACAGCCTGGGAGAGCATTGTGCTCAGGTAGAGTTGGAGCTTCCCAGAAATGCTCTTATGCACAAGGCTGGAAAGATGAAGAGTGTGTCGGGATTCCAGCGACAGCCAGTTTAGCTCTTCATATCACAGTGGTGGGTAAAGTAATTACATTCTAGTACAAAGTGGCAGAACTAATTATATAACGTATTAAGTTTATTAAGGTGTGTTTACGGTGCGGGTGCATACATATAGTGGTTATCTTACTTAGACACCAGTAAATCCCCTAAAATTCAGCGCAAGCATATTTCAACACATATTTACACTACATATTGCAACAGTTCAACGCTATGTGTACTCTCTATGTGTACTCTAATGCAGGCGACAAAGCCAGTCTGTTGGTTGGCAAGTGACAACACCAGTGTTTGTGTCACGTAATACGTTAGTGTGACCTGACACGTCTGGCGTATACCTAGAAAAAGCATACAATTACATACAGACTATCTCATCTCAATGATGTTGATGGTGCCATATGACTGTAGTAACGTAAATCCCACCGAAGTAGCTGAGTAAAACTTGACTGTTTTAATCAGATGTACTCATAGAGACCACTAGATTGGCACTGTCCAGCGTTTTCCTGTGCATGTGCACAGTAACCTCCCAATGCTTTGCTATGGTGAGCTTTGGATTGTAAAGAAGTGGGGCCGGCCGAGATGAGAGCACTACTCATTCACACAGGAGGAGACAGTGTCCTAACAAGTTAGCAGGTAACTATAGACAGACGTATCCTTCTTGTGTTCCTTTAACAAAATAGCCAACATTTATTTTTTTAAAGTATAGATAGGGTTTTATTTTAAGATATGTTGAATACATAACCAGTCATTTAGTATTATAAAAAAAAAAAAAAAAAAGTTGTAAAATGAAGGAGAAAAAAAAAATCAGGTTACTTTACTATAATGATTGGTTTGCAATCCAATGCAGCTCTTATAGAGCTGGTTATCGGCACAGCGTGTTGATTTGCTACACTTGCCTCCCAATCCTACTTCATAGGGAAGCATTGGATTGGCTGAGATTGATCACATACAGGAAGGCACAGCGGGCGCGGCGAGGGAAAAAAGATAAGTAAAACTCACCTTTCAAACCCTATCGGTGGGAGGGGGGAACACCTAAATAGGTTGAGAAACACTATAGCGTTAGGAATGCACATTTGTATTACTAAAGGTATAATGTTCCTTAAAATTAATTTAGCCACGTTTTGGAGTCATCTGTTGAAATGCAGAAAGTTTGGTTCAAATCGTTCTGTCTTTCCTTAACGCAGGGCGAAATGTCAATATTCCATACATTATTGCTTTCATAATGAGATTTAAAATCTTGGCCAGATTTGCAGATCGGGGTTAGTAAACACGTGGAATCTTTGGTGAGAGAGACATACACCACTATTCTCCTAACTTTAGCGAGATGGACATAATCGTCTCTCAACCAGCTTTGCTGAGTACAAGACTGGATAGGATTTTCACCATCGTCCATCGGTGACTTCGCTCTGCTTTACCCATTCATCACTGAAGCGAATTACGTATCAGCAGCCTAATGGAAGCACTCTGGCATGAGGAGACTCCATCCTGTTTTCACACATAACGGATAGATAAGCGGGCTATTTTTGTTACTAGGAGTATGTAGCAGGTTTAGTGCTGGCCACATAAATCACAGAATTGTTAAGGGTAAGCGATGACCTTGATTTAAGGCTGCCTGAGCATCATAGGAAGAGTAGTTCTCAAGCAGCAAGTTTTGACATTATTTGTTAAAAAAAAAAAAAAAAATGTAGTTTTCATTTAGTGGTTATAATAAAAATAAAAAGTCCTGATGAAAGTCTGTGTTTAACAGACTGAAACGTCGATTCTTTTTTATAAGCTCATTAAAAGCTAATTTTTATTTGATTCAACAGTCCTGAGAGTGCTATCTGGATTTCTTTTTATGTATATACTTATGTATATAGATATAAATATTATTTCATTCTACATGTATTTTGATATCAATATATATATATATTTTAAAATACATTTAGAACGAAATTACACATGTATATATATTTTTTATTTATTTATTTTTTATTATTTTTAAAATTTTATTATTATTTAACGTATTTACATATTTATTTATTTTTATTATATATAAATATATATATATATAATGAAAATGATATATATATTTAATCAATATCATTGTATGTGTATTTTGATATTAATATAATCTAAGTATATATTATTTATTTTTACACTGATTTAACATGTTTTATTTTATTTTCAGACAGCAGGGGGAGTAGCTGTCATTACAGGCACTCCCCCTGCTGGCATTGCCTTGGACGGCTATGCCGTCCATGTGATCTCGAGGTCCTCGCAAGGACCTCGCGATCACATGGCCCAGGGGGGGCGAAGAGGACAGAGGGGGACTACCTGGGCTCCCAGGTGAGTCTCCATAGCGCGATCGCCGGCGTGGGAGCATTCTTTACCACCCTGCGGCGTTTAGAGCCATCTAAATAAGGACGGCATAGAACGCCCTGCGGTCTTAAGGGGTTAAATCTGTGTTAGTGAGCACTTCTCCTTTGCTGAGATAATCCATCCACCTCACAGGTGTGGCATATCAAGATGCTGATTAGACAGCATGATTATTGCACAGGTGTGCCTTAGGCTGGCCACAATAATGAATTTGAGAGAAATAGGCCTTTTGTGTACATAGAAAAAGTCTTAGATCTTTGAGTTCAGCTCATGAAAAAAAAGTGTTGTGTTTATAATTTTGTTCAGTGTATATACACTATATAGACAAAAATATTAGTCCACCTGACCATTACACCAATGGGATTTTATGACATTGCATTTTTAATACATAGACATTAATATGTAGTTGGTGTCCCCTTTGTAGCTATAACAACTTCCACTATTCCTGGAAGGATTTCCACAAGATCTTATTGTAATACTGTGGGAATTTCTGTCCATTTATCCGGTAGAGCATTTGTGACATCAGTATTGTGATGTTGTATGAGGAAGCCTGACTCTCAATGTCCGTTTTAGTTAATCCCAAAGATATTCGATAGGGTTGAGGTCAGGGCATTTCAGTGTCTCCAGTCAAGTTCTTCCACACTAAACTCATCCAGCGATGTCTTTACGGACCTTGTGCACTGGGGCACTGTCATGCTGTAACAGAAAAGGGCCTTCTCCAAACTGCCCCATAAAGTTGGAAGCCTAGCATTGTCCAAAATGCCTTGGTATGCTGAAGCATTAAGATTCCCCTTGTGCAGTGGCAGTGTGCTTTACACCACTCAGTCCGACATTTGGCATTGTACTTGGTGATGTGAGGCTTGCATCCAGCTGCTCGGACATGGAAACCCATTCTGTGATGCTTCTTCTGCACAGTTTTTGTGCCAATATTAATGCCGGTGGAGGTTTGGAACTCTTCATCTATGGAATTAGTAGAGCGTTTGCGACTTTTACGCATCATGTGCCTCAGCACTCGGTGACCCCACTCTGTGAGTTTACATGGTCTTCCGCTTTGTGACTGAGTTGCTGCTGTTCCTTAATGCCTCCACTTTCCAATAATACTACTTACAGTTGCCTAGAATATCTAGCAGGAATAAGATTTCACAAACTGGCTTATTGCAAAGGTGGCACGCTTGAATTCACTGAGCTCTTCCGAACGACCCAATTTTTTTTAACTGTCTGTAAATGCAGACTGTAGCGGATGGCATTGGGCTGTCCTCAAGAATTCGTGGTAAAAATGTATTCGTGTAATTATTCCCATGTATAACTGTAAGTGTATGTAGCTTTTGTCTGCTTGTTCGGTAGTTTTCCTTCGTTTTCATATGAATGAAACTACCGAACCATCAGACCACCCCAGTGAGAAGTGTGTACCTCGTTAAGCTTTCAGACTCTGTAACCGCAGCTAAATTGACCGTGAAATTGCTACTTTATGTGTATCTATGTGGTCGCCGTTTGGCATACGAACCGTGTGACGGCACCCATCTTACGCAAGAAAATCTCAGCGGTGTTTGGTCGTCGAGTGTCTGGAACTCAAATCGGACACCCAAACACCGCTGAGACCTCCAGAGCTCCATAACTCACGAACGGAAGGGCCAATCAGCCCCTCATTCAGTAACATAAATGTACCGAACAAGGGAATACATACGAATATGAGATTAGCTGTGGATGGCAAGTATTTCTGTGTGTTTTAACTACCGAACGGAGACCGAGCGCAGGGTTAAATTTCACCTTCCATCTAACTCCCGAACCCCTGGTCCGATCTGGGTGAATTTTGAATATGTTATTCACCCAGATCTGGGCTACAAGGGGGTACCCAGTATATCAGTCTATCTGCCTGTTTTGGGGTACATCCAGAAATCGGGGAAAACTACAGTATGTTTAATGGGATTATGTGTCACACTGAGGGGAGGAGATGTGTGGGAGGTAACTGTTACAATATTGGCTACTGTAATAATTACTGTGAATGGGAATAAAAGTCAGTTCTGCTCCTGATGCTGTGTGTCGTCCAGTCATTGGGATCTGTATGGGGATATTCATGGATTGCCTTGCTTGCTGTGAATATTGTTCTATGGGATTGTATTACTTGTTCCCGAGCCTCACTGGGATCTTTAGTGGAGTTAACCTGTGAAAGACCAGCTCTCCGCTACACAGACTGCATGGCTGGGTGCTTTACTTTTATACACCTGTGTCAATGGGTCTAAATGAGACACCTAAATTCAATAATTAACCAATAAATGTGCATTTCTTTCCACGATTTATTTCTGATGTATTTTTGGGGATTCTCTCTGAGTGCGGATCAACAAACTTGCCCCATGTCAAGACATTTACACAGCTTAAGAAAAGGAAGGAGAGGAAATAATTGTAAAATCCCAGCACAGTTCACCATAAGTTTCTTTGTTATCAAGAGGGCCTATTATGTACCAAGAATGAACTTGGATAACCATAAAGTTATTTTAAAAATGTATACAACCATCTAGGTGTACTAATGAGTACATTCTAAAGGAAATACTGTGTAGCTATGCACTTTCATTCAAAACTTGAAACATAACACACTCACAAACAAAAATAAAACAAAGCAAAAATGAAAAAGAAAGAAAAACATAAACAAAGTGGCAACCTAAGACAACCTATATCTCTCCATCATAATTAAAAATGTATAAATTATTTCTCAACTATATATGTCCAACTTCAAGTAAGAAATAGATTTGTAATAAAGTGACATTTGAAACATCTACAACTTAATCTTAACAGAAGCCTATATCATCCTTCTAATAAAGCTCAGTGAATGTGTGTGTGTCTGTAAGTGTGGGTGTCTAAGTGAATGTGTGTGTGTCTGTGAGTGAATGTGTGTGTCCGTCAGTGAATGTGTATGTCTGTCAGTGAATGTGTGTGTGTGTGCGTCGGTCAGTGAGTGTATGTGTCAGTCAGTGAGTGTGTGCATCTGTCAGTGAGAGTAAGCGTCTGTCAGTGAGTGTGTGTCGGTCAGTGAGTGTGTATGTGTCAGATAGTAAGTGCGTGCGTCTGTCAGTGAGTCTGTCAGTGAGTGTGAGTCTGTCAGTGTGTGTCCAAGTAATAGTGTGTGTCTGTCTATCAGTGTGTCAAATCAGTGAGTGTGTGTATATGTCATTGTTTGTCAGTGTATATGAGAGTGTTTGTCTGTCAATGAGTGTATGCATCTATCAGTGAGTGAGCATCTGTTAGTCAAAGTGCGGCCTTGGCAGGAAGGGGTGGGGAAAATAGGGGGGGTGCCCGAGCATCATCCTGCCTTGGGCAGCACAAATCCTAAATACACCACTGATGGAGATATAAAATAATTGAGATGAAAGAGCAATAATATATGTGCAAATTTATGTTATCCAGCAAAAAAAAATTAGAGAAAAAAAATAAAAATGTCTAAACCGTCCAACTATGGTTTAATCAAAGTGCCCAGTATCTGTGCCAAGGGAGCCATACTTTAAAATAACTCTGTTTACTATTCTAGCAGCTCAGTGGATAGCTTCAGCCCACATTCACATGGATATGTTGTTCATATATATATATATACATATATATATATATTGTTTTGGTTTCCAGATAGACAGACTATAATTATAGTTGGACAGAAGAAAGATGCTTCGATCCACTTGAGATATTATGCCTATATTCATGTACATGGCATGGCTGAAACAACAGGGGGGCACTGAATACCCTCTAACAAATGTACTTCTTTAGAGACCAGAGGTCAGAGGGTATTCAGTGCTCCTTGCTATTGTTTCAGGTGAGCCATGTACCATTATATTTCTAGTGAATCCTTTCTTCAAGTTAAAATCAGTCATTCTCTTTTTTTATTTTGTCATGTTATAGTCAGCAGTGGAACCTGCTGTTGACTCTCCCAAACATCAAGGGACAGCTTATAACTAATGTTGTGTTTATGCTGTACACCTTGTGATCGATATTGTGTTTATTCTACATCCGTAATACCTGTCTTCGGCGTATTTGTTCTTCTCACCAAGCATAATTATATTTTATCATTGTTAACATTTAAAATAATTATTAATAAATTGTTTCCCCCTTTCTATATGTTTTTTTTTCTTCTGTACCCTTTTCTCCATTTGTATTTACCAAGTTTTTTTTTTAGAAATGTAATAAACATTTGAAAATAATGATTATTAATGTTGGAATGCTTGACACAGCCATACAGTATACTTTACAACTTCCAAAGTAACGTTAGTATATGTAACTTTGTCATGGTGACGGTCTAGTTTACATTATATTATTTTGCAGTTCCAGAAATGCTAAATGTGTGTAACTGAGATGAGACTTGATTAGTTTGGTCTTTCCCCTCTTTTCTAAGAAGACGAGATATTACCAGTCATATATTTTATTACATTCTTTTCAAGTGTTGTGACACCTATCCCATAAGTACCGTTGTTTCTTCAGGAGAGATTTTTTTTTTCTGAAATAAAGTTGTTCTTTATTGCCACCACTACAAAAACACTGGTAGAGGAACCCTAAATCTTATCACAAGTCTTCCCACAGCTCTACTGTCAGAGTCTTACCTGGGTTGTGAGTCTGTAGCGCAGATATGTTGCTCACCCTTGCAGATAGCCACAGGCCAAGGTGGTCAGGTAAGAATTCACCTGGCCTGTGGATCTGTGCAGGATGAAGTACCAAGTCGCAGGACAGGCAAGGACTCAAACAACAGGATCGTCAAGGGATAGCCGAGGTCAAAGGATGCCAGAGGTCAGAGTAAACATAGTCAGAAGCCGGGGTCAATAATAAGTAGCAGATCAAACGACAGGAACACTGGTACGGAACACACAACAGGATCGAAGACTTGATCCTGATCACAGGGCGAGGCGGAGTTTAAATACCCTGCTGATGTCTGATCAGGGTCGGGTGAAGCACAGCCATAGTCAAGGTACAGCCCCCAGAGTAATAGACATGCCAGGATGAACAGGGCCGGAAATATTTGTTGATATATAAAGCTGCTGTGGCTAAGAGGTAGGAAGCAGGAGCAGGACTGCAAAGTTCCCCGGTTCAAATCTCCTGTAGGGAACTCCTTGGGCGAACACGTCTGGCTGTCTGTCTGCCGCAGTGAGAACCGTGACAGTACCCCACCTTCAAGAACGCCTTCTGGGTGTGAATAGGTTTGTTGTCATAACAGTACACCTCTTCAGGTTCACTGTCCGAATCAAGTGAGTCCCCATAGCCGAAGTCCCCAGTGTGGAATCCCTTTACAGCATGGGACTCCTTAGTACCAGCTTCTGGTGTGGCTGGAGCACAGTCCAGGTCTTTTAGGATCTGGGTGCAGGTGGTAAGCACTTCCATTACTTTGGCAGGAGCAGTGTTCGTGGCTAACAATGATTTTTCGAACATTTTAAGATCTTCTGTATGGACTGCAGTGCCATTAGAAGCACTACTCAGCTCTACTCAGTGTACTATACCAGGCTGCCCAATTGGTGAGTTCTGGGCAGGGCACTACCTGTCCTTGTTATACCAGCAACAATGAGATTCAGAAGTGTCATTCAGCAGTACCCATGTGAGGACAACATGCCTGTCCCAACATAATGGAGATTTTTTCCTACCTTGTGTTTACTGGAGCCAACGGAATGATATAATGTTAGTTAGTCATGTAATTGTTTGCAGTGTCCTTTTGTATGTGTCTGAATTATACAATTATTATTATTTTTAACCTGCCTTCTCCTCCTAATGCTGCTTTCTCTTCCAGGACTACTTTGAAAGTTATTTTTCGATTGCTTCTGCTGTACCAGCAGTGCCCTGCCTCGCACTGAACTTCTTCCTTGTTAACAGGTAAAATGAATTGTGCAATTTCAAATCAACCAAATTTATTTCCCATTGTTGTGACTAATACATTATTTAGTTTAATACAATTTGCATTTTCCATAAATAATAGTCCAATAAAAATAAACTTTATGCAAAGGTTACATTTACATAGGAAATGCCAATGCATGTAATATAATAGTACCGCACAATTGTTTTGACCTGTTGAGTGCCAGGAGGAAAGAGTTGCAATTTAAGTAAGGTAAAAAAAAAAAAAGAAATACGCTGAGCCAGTGTGCCTGGTCCTGCATCAGCCATGCTTTACTCTACAGAGAAATCTGGATTCTCCTCCTAGAGAGGACTAGATGTGACTCAGAAGCCTAGGGGTGCGGGGGGGGGGGCTGGTAAGGTGTCGAACTGTTCTAAAATGGTTTGACAACTTACCAGATTCCCCCCTCTTTTGCTCTGCACTTACTCCCTTGTTAATACTAGAATTGTCCAATACTTTGCTTCTGATAGAGAAAAATTGAGGACAATCTCCAGTCATATTATTTATTTATAAAATATTTTACCAGGAAAGATACATTGAGATTTCTCTCGTTTTAAAGTATGTCCTAATACCCAACAAATGCAAAATTTATACTTTAATTGCCGTTTTCTTAAAGGGACAAACACCATAACCTCCACAATCCACTGTAGTGGCTATAGTGCCAGAATTTTCTGAATCAGACATTCTCAGGAAGGAGAATCTGGAAGTCTCTGTATGAAGAACTGCACTCGTGCTCAGCTGATGCTCTTAGCCAATGAGCGCAGTCCTACATGGCCCGGCTTTGCTCTGCGGCAGGGTTGCTTAACCCTTGCCCCACAGGCTGCTCATGGCCTGCCTGATTCTTCTAGGGGCTTGCAAAGCTGCAGTCAGGAGATCACGTGGTACATGTCCTGTTTACCAACGTCAGAGATTTTCAGATGAAATGAGACTTTTTATTTTTAAGTGCCAACTTCAAGAACAAAATTTAACAGTTGAAACTGTTGAATGCAGAATACACTCATCTATATGTCCCTGCAATATCTCAGCTCCATACTGAGATCCAAGAGAGATTTTCGTGTTCAAGAAAGGATCCTGAACAAGGTAACTAATCCCTTCTCCGTGAACATAATGGAGGCTCCAGGGGACCTCCACATGGAAATCATTGACATTTAAAGTGACTTAGACCTGGAAAATCAAATTTAATTAAGTATGTCTAGAATTTTAACAAAGTATGGAGAAAAGAGAAAAAAGATAAAATTTAAGAATGCATGCTAGTATGCACGTACTTATGTGTACAGATGTTTTCCAGAATGAAGCACTCCACGTCAAAATTGAGGACAAAAATTACTGATTGTTATCTGAAGCACTGCCTCCTATTAACTACCTGGAAAGAATAGTTTCTAACATTGAATAATTAGTTAAAATAAATAAGCAAAGTCAGTGATCTCATTCACTAAATCTTTAATTCCTTGCATTGCCATTGCATTGTGGCCAAAATGTTGAGTGTCTCTTGCTCTGTAGAGTGATCTGGATTCTCCTGCTGGAGAAGATTGGATGCAGAGGATGTGGGTGCCCCGGGGAACCAAGATAAGTTGTCACTCTGTATTAAAATGATTTAACATCTTAGCATGGATCAGAGCCAGGGCACTTCTGACACCATAACCACTACAGCGGTTGACAAAGGTTCAGCTAACAGCTAAGCTAAAGCTTCTAGAAACCTAACAGAACCATGTGTGCAGAAGTATATGTAGCGCATAAAAGAAAGCACTACAAGACAGAAGGGGAATGGGCTTATAGAGCAAAAAAATAAATGCTAATTAAGGGGGAAAAAACTAAATAATCCAATGTACACATTACAACTAACTTGCGTTGTAGCCTGTAGTATCCCTTAAAATTTAATAAAAACCTTAAAGGGACACTCCATGTTGGAGTTGACATCCCCCATTGTTATGAGTGAAGCTACTTTCGATTGCTCAGTTACAAGCCCATAATCACCTGATATTCTGTGGCCTGTACATGCGCACTCTGTACAAGTACTTGTATGGGTAAGAAGAAGCATATTTTTCCCCAAGGAAGTGAGATTTACAGGAATGGCATTTTGCAGCTGCATTTTGTTCCACGCATGGGAAATCACCTGTTCTTATACCATAAATTCTTCGTCACTTAAATAAAACAGGCACTGTCACATGTATTTATTTTTTTTATTTTTGGGGGGATAAAGCTTGATAAAAATCCATGTGCAGATAGAAAAGTTGCTTTGGTGTGAAATCACAATAAAAGGGAGAACACGAAATTGGAGGTTTCCTGGACTGAGAAAGAGGAAAAATTAGAAAATAACATCCAATGCCCATCACACACTGATTTGTGTATCTGTGCATGTATCAGTGTACAACAGCGAGGAGCAGGACAGATCCTAACTAAAGATGCTTTTTCAGCTGAGACCAAGGAAGACGAAATAAGTGAGATGTTTATCATGAAATGATATGCTGCATTAAACGTTTCATCTTCTATTATTCACAGAGTTCATTTTCCTGTTTTAGCTTTTTGGTGGCTCTGCCTATCTCCCTGGCAGTGTCTGATAAGAGAGTTTGCAGGTTCTGTTCCTGTCCTTCCTGCACAGACAGCTAATTATCTGCCGGTGACGGGAGCTGTGGGAATGCATTCAGACCTCTATCTGCATTTTCCCATTCTGGGTTATTAGCATTTGTTACTGTCACTTGTGTCTGTATCCTGTTTGGACTGCAATCCACAGGTTGAGGGGAAGAAATTAAAAAAAAATTGCTAATAATGGGATTCTGGTGCATCTGTAGTTCATGTTGAGCTGATAAATATTTTCTTCACCCAGGAAATAAGTATTGGTATAGTAAAGGCCTTTATTTACCAGATGAATTATCTGTCATTAAAATGACAAGCATTGTCACAGCAGACTGCCATACACATGGTCTGACACACAGATCCCACCTGTTTATACTGAAAGACGCAGCAAACACAGCAGCATTGTTTAAGCCCTTTACACGGTCTTTATCGTGCTGTAAAGGAGTAAATTTAATTAGTGCATTAAAGGGTCACGGTAGGCACCCAGACCACTTCAGCTAATTGAAGTGGTCTGGGTGCTGTGACCCTTTTGCACTTAGTGCTGCAATGCAAAACATTGTTTTTCCAGAGAACTGGAATGTTCACACTGCAGCTTTTCGTCTGCCCTCAGTGGCTGTCTAATGGCTTTGTCTTCCTGGCACTATAGGATCCCTTTAAATAAGCAAATCATGTGTATGTAACGAGAATATGGATGTATACAATCCTAGAAATTGTATAGTGACAGTTATTTATCTGCACAGTTTCTCAATCCATTAGTGACAGTCAGTTTGCAAACTACTGTTTTTAAAGTGGCTTTTACCTTTTTTTTACATTTATGTATAATGTTTTACAAGTCCCTACTTTTTTATTATTATTATTTTATAATAGTTATTCTTTTACATGAGGAAATGCGAGGACTACATTTTCCTATGTATATCCTGCAGTTTGACAACAGTTAGGAAAGAATAGAGCTTTAATAAAGCTCTGTGTCCTTTGTCAACTTTGTTATTGGCTGTCAACCACTACTCACCTGCTTCCAGCTTCGCGTCACTTTTGGTAGCATCCATGCCTGGTGGATTCTATGGAACTGTGTTGAGTCTTGAGATAAAGCAAGAGTCAACACAGTTCCATAGAAGCCACCAGGCATGCCCTTGGAAAGGTATAAATGAAGGCACTATGAATGAAAGGCATGGTAGGACTGGCACAACTTGGAATAAGGTAAGTACATTGGTCCTGGGGCACTAAACCTTATTGTCAAAGTGGTCAGCCACTTCAGTGAATGTTGCGGGGCCAGACATAGCCTCTGTACCAGTTACTGGTGACTAGACTGGCATGTACCAAGCTCTTGTTGAATGTCTCAACCGCATGTACACAACTTGTGTCAGACTTTGAAAGGAAAAAAAATAGCCTCAAAACCCTTCCTACACCAGCCCGCCTGCTAATAAAATATTGCCCATGGTCCATGACCTAAAGGTTAGATTATCTGATTTCTCTTAATATGTCTGTGATTAACTAGCATGCCCCTTTATAATTCAATTTCTCTCACTGTTGTAGAGTAATATTTATGATTGTTTAGCCACCTTTAAACATCTTTCCCCATTTCTTTTAGGGTCTCTTCCAAAGTGCGAGTTTTATTCTCGCTTGGAGTGATGCTGCTTGCCTTCGCACTGACAACGATTTTGGTGAAGGTCGATACATCCACCTGGACACAGGAGTTCTTCATAATAACGTTGATATCAATAGCAGTTGTTTGTGGAGCCGCCAACATACTCACTGCCAGCATATTTGGCATCACAGGAAGTTTCCCAATGAAGCACTCCCAAGCTTTAATTTCAGGTAATCTGGAACTTAAGAGCATCTTGTAACATCACCCGTGTTTTTGTTGTGACGAACAGCAATGAGCTTGTAGAACATTTAGGAATGATCATCAAAGTTAAACACCAACATTTTTATTGTCAAAACTTCAAAGTCACTTTTAAATTTTAGGCCAAAGTTGTAAATATCAAATTAATATTGGCTTGTTCACTGTGGTCTAAAATTTTAAATTAATTTTGAATTCCCAACAGCACACATTTTGGTGAATAATTTTTTTTGCATACCCTTGACCTAAAATCGGGTGTAATCTTCAAAACTTAAACATACCATTAAAAAAAAAAAAAAGTAACATACACACTGTCTCCCATTGACTTCTCAGAGGCATGGTTTACGGTTAGTTTAAGACTTGTGGTTTGATAAAAACAATGTATACACACCCTTAGTGCTTTTAGGATGTTATGATGTTCTTTAATTTGACTGTGCGGTTCCTATAATTTATTCTCTAAGTATGCCTCGTTTCACTATGTGTGTCTTAACTGTGTCTCAGTCATATGTCTTCAGAATATGCCTATCTACAAAGAGGTGCAACCACAAGTTCACATGGCTATATAATTTGCCCAGGGATAGGACAGCACCAATGGCAATTGCAAGGTTTGACCCTTTGTGTAACACTTGACCTGCATGCAGTGGGGTAATAAATCATCAGGGATTTTTAACTTTCCACTTAACGGCTTTACTAGCTACAAAGTTCATGGATTGATCAGTGGTCATTAGTCTCCAATTAGATGCTGTCAGAGCAAGGATTATTAATTAACTGAAGGTTCTCATTGACTGTTAGTGCAGAGCTTTCGTCTGGTTGTACATACTGTACACTTGTCACTACTTGAGAAGAATGCTAAAAAAGGACCATCATGTGTTCTCTTACCAATCAGTGCATGTGATGAATTATTGCAGTTGTGGTCGAGTTTATTTTTATGGTAATTCTGCAAGAGTTCACTTTACTTTCTGAGGAAGTAAAACTCGTCTTGTAACATAAAATCGAAAAACATAAAAAAAACACTGATTTCCTGCGTCGTCATTCTTGGTGTTCCAGTTCACGAATGACAATTGTACAACTGTAAAAGTTTCTGAAAACATAAAAAATAGAAAACAAGGAGAAATAGTTAAAAACAGAGTTAGATAAGGACATTACTCTAAATATCCTCAATAAACATGTAGAAAAAATAAATAAATGAATACATGTTGCTAGTTCTATTCTAAAGCTGCATCTTTGTAGCATACAGTAAATGCATGTTAAATTAATGATGTAGGAAATAGTCTTTGGAAGTATCATGACGGCAGCTCTTGCCCACAATAAAAATGGCCCAGCCACAGGCATGCATCTCCTTGCAGTCTTCTGTGTGCTGTATTTAATTAGATGTTGTTCTTCGCATCTCAACAATTTGCATATTTGATAAGATGGTGTTCCATTCCAGTGAGTGATGAGTCCCCTGCAGGATTTTAGAATGTAGTGGATTCTTACAGCTTTCTTCTGACTGCATTTGTCATGTTAAAAAGCGGCTCCTATTATTTATTATTTAGAGATATCTCCCAAAGGTAAAAAGAAAGTTAGAAGACTTCATTAGAAAAGGACATTTTTATGCATGTATCCAGATGTTTTATATAGGCTTTGTTTTAACTGTGTGTTTTGTATCCCAAAGAGCATTTTTTCCATTTTGGCTTTTTTATTTATCTACTATTTTTCTCTTTCAACTGCACCCTAATGTGCTGTTCTCCTTCGTGGCATCACAATCATAGCTTTGTACTGTGCCATACATGCTCAGTCAGGCTCTACATTATATGTCTAGTGGGACTGTACAATTTTTTTCTTGTTTAAATATGCCTGAATAACACCGTCAGCCAATACTCTCAGCTAATAAATAATGTCTAACCTTGGTATTATTTGATCTGATAATGTGGATGTATGAACGTCCGATTTAGCCTCTTCTCAGACTGTTAGCTGCATAGGTGCCTGACACAGCGAGGTATGTGTCAGACCATGATAAACGTTTTTCACAGATTAGCATCAAACAGTGCCAAGGGGCATTCGGCATCATTACCAATGTAGTGCTTGAAGCAGGGCTCGACAAATAATATTCGTAGCATCTAAATGTTGGTAGTCAGACAACCTTTTTTTAGACTTGAGATATACTATCTAATGACTTCATAGGGAAGCTTTGGGCTGTTGTGAAGGTGGGTTGCAGTGCCCCATGGACCCCAGGAAGGTGTCAAACCATTCTAGAAGTAGATCACACTCTACATAAGGAAACATAGTCCCTACTTTTATCTATCTTTTAACAAGAAAATATAGGTGAATTACAAAAGTAAATGAATACAAGCAGAAATAGAAGGAAAAAATTGAAATAGAGGGACAAATGGATTTATTTAAAATTTGCACATGCAATGCACATAGCCCTTTAAATAGTCTTATATTCAACTGTACAATTTTGCATTAATTGAACACATGAAAGAGGACATTAACCAAACGTTTACTCTGATTAACCAATCCTTATAAAGCAATATTTACTCTTTCAATCAGGCTTTTATCAAAATTCAAATTGGCCAATCTACAATATAATACGTGTAGACAATTACAGACGTACAGTTGTTTTTTAAACTAACAGCTGGAGATATGTATTTTATCTGCTGATATATAAAGGAAGTATATGTCATGTTTCCTTTGATTTTTTTTTTTGATTTTTTTTAAATGTAGGTTTTTTTTTATAACCAGTGCTAAAAGTAGGATGTATCAGTTTGCATGCCAGGAGGGTGTTTAATTAGCATGAAGGGTATCTGTATCGCTGTAACGTAACATGAGCTATGAGAACTGCAAAGTCAGGTTGGTGGAAATGTGTGATAAACCTCTTGGGCTACTGACCTACATAAAAAAAACACATTACATACATACATTGTGTGTTCATGCTGTGCAGATTAATGTATACTTGCTTATGGGTTAGTGGAATCTGTCACTTTAGAAACCTTGACTTTAGAACATACATACTTTAGACATACACTCATGCATGGTGTGAGGATGTACAGCGTCAGTTAGGCAGCCAAAACTTGCCTAACAACCCAGACATCCTTCTAGTGGCTGTCTAGTAGACAGCCACTAAAGGTGGAGTTAACCCTAAAGGTGGCAGGTAATTATTGCAGTTTATAAAATTTGCAGAGTTAAGTGTACTGGGACAGTGCACCCTGACATTTTCAATGAGCCGGCAATGGGTGCCTATAGTGTCCCTTTAACTATAAATGCAGGGAGCAAATGGAGGGAGAGGAAATCTAGGCTTTCCAGTGCTGTCTGCAAGTGTAGAAGCGTATTACTCCGGTTGCCGGGATAGTAATAGAAGTCAGTAGTTATTTTAAGGAATCTCCTGTCTTACCTTTGTTCTGTGGCTACAGCTGCCTTTAAATCCCCTCTGGTTTAAAAAGTACCATGTATTTGCTAGGACCATCCATAAGCTGAATCCATCTCAATTTTTATTTGCCTGGCAACTGCGCATGACTTCAGGGTTTGAATATAGCAAACTAGTTCTCATTTATGTGTATGGCTTTTGGTTGAATAAGTGGTGCTTCTGATGGAGCAATGGTAAGCAAGTAGATACACTAAAATATATTTGCTCATAATATATACTGATCACCCATAACATTAAAATCATTGACCTGTGTAGTGAATAACTGAAGCAGGAGAAATGGCCAAGTGAAAAAGATCTGAGTGAGTTTGACAAGGGCCAAATAGGGATGGACTGAGTCAGAGCATCTCCAAAATGGCAAGTCTTGTGGGGTGCTATGCAGTGGTTAGAACCCACTAAAAGTGGTGCAAGGAAGGACAAAAGGTGAACGCTGACATCAAGGTCGTGGGTTTGCTCCCCACGTTCCTCAAGGAGCCTTGGGCACCCATGACCTCTTCAGCTCCCTCGCGCACCGCACTGATACCGGAGTCGGAAGATGACGTCATCTTCCGGCGCCGGCATCTCTATGCGACGCGTGAGGGAGCTGAAGAGGAAGCACTTGGCCAGGGAGAGAGTGCTCCCTTGCGCACCCACCAGCCTGCCCGCCGGGTGACATCACAGCAACACCACTGGACCCCAGGGAATCCCCTCAGCACTCCCAAAGGTAGGGAGGCTGAGGGGATTAATTTTTTTTTTTAAAACGTGTGTGTGTTAGTGTGTGTGTGTGTGTTAGTGTGTGTTTTAGAGTGTGTGTGTGTTAGTGTGTGTGTTAGAGTGTGTTAGTGTTAGAGTGTGTGTGTGTTTTAGTGTTACAATGTGTGTTAGAGTGTGTGTGTTTGTGTTAGAGTGTGTGTGCGTGTGTGTGTGTTAGAGTATGTGTGTGTTAGTGTTAGAGTGTGTGTGTGTTACTGTGGGTGTCTGTTACTGAGTGTATTTGTGTGCGTCTGTTAGTGAGTGTGTGTTTTGTAAGTGAGTGAGTGTGTGTCTGTCTGTCACTGAGTGTGTGTCTGTCAGTAAATGTGTGTGTCTGTTAGCTAGTGTGTATGCGTCTGTTCATGAGAGTGTGTGTGTCTTAAGCACTTACCTTTCTCCAGCGCCGGACTCCCTTGACGCTGGGAATCTCTCCGCCCCGATCCGCCTCTCAGCTCCGAATGCGCATGGGTGGCAAGAAACGCGCGCGCATTCAAACCGCCCATAGGAAAGCATTACTCAATTTTCATAGTGAGAATCGCAGAAGCTCCTCTAGCGGCTGTCAATGAGACCGGATTAACCCTCAGTGAAACATAGTTTCTCTGAAACTGCTATGTTTTCAGCTGCAGTATTAAAACTAGAGAGACCTGGCACCCAGACCACTTCACTGAGCTGATGTGATCTGGGTGTCTGTAGTGGTCCTTTAAGTGTATGTGTTAATGCATGCACTGACATACATACCGCGGTCGCAGGTGTCGCAGCCCTGCGACCAGGTGCCCGCCGCCGTGTGTTGCGGCCCCAGCGGGGGGGCCACGGATCAGTTTTCGCACCAGGGCCCCATGGGTTGTGTGTATGCCACTGTCATCAGCATTCAGTAAAGGGACTATTTGTGAATATATTGTCTTACACGGTATCTTCAATACAGCCAAAGACAATACTTTGTGAATATGTTCTAGCACACTGCAAACATTGTCAGCTATTGCTTTATATGTGATCGTTGCTTCTATTTACTGTCATTGGTGTCTGCTAAAATTACAGCATTAATTATATATTCATTTAATAGTCATGCCTGATGATGAATGTCTTCTACTGTAACTATTCCAGGCAATTAAAGAATAAGGGGGCTTTTAAGGGGGGAGGTGGGGTTGCTTACAGGTATTGTGTTCAGCAGTATTAGGTCTAATTAGTTATAATTAAATCCAGTGTCAAGAAAAGAGGAATCGAATTCTCAGGGCTGTCATTACAATCACGGGAATGGAAAAATACGAAAGCAAAGTAGAAAGTGATTTTGTTTAAGGAGTGATGGCAGGGATGGCTGATGAGGCCAACATTTTCTTAACCTGCCAGTAACATACTCTGAAAGGGTTAAAATAAAGAACGGTATAAACAGGGTTAGTTAAATGTGTTTGGTGCTGATTGGAAACTGTTATATACAGCTTACACCCAATGTGGTAGAAAGAGCATTGCATATTTACATATATATATAATAATACTGTCGCCAAAGCAGTGGTTGTTAAAGGTTAAATGTTATATACATTGTAAAAAGAAATTAGTAAGTAGTAAAAGTATACCTATCAATGTTTATCAATAGGAAGGGAATCCTAAAAGGAACACTCCAAACGCAAAAAGGATTGTGATACAAATAACTGAGGCGTCTTTGATTGGACAAGTACAGAAAGTACAGGGCGGGCTTTCAGTAGCTTAAAGAGACACTATAGGCAACCAGATCACTTGAGCTCATTGCAGTGGTGTGGGTGCAATGTCCCAGACCCTTAACCCTGCAAAGGTATTTATTGCAGTCTCTGAGAAAGTGAAATAGTTACCTTGCAGGGTTAATTCCATCTCTAGTGTTTATCTACCAGACGGCCACTAGAAGGAATTAAAAAGTCGCCTAAATGACGCTGGACATCTTCACGCTGTGCATGAGGACATCCAGTGTCAATAAAAATCCCCATAGCAAAGCATTGAAACAATGCTTTCCTATAGGGAATCCTAATGCGAGCGTTTGCCTTGCCATGCATGCACCTTAGGTCTCCCCCCGCTGGCGGATATCGGCAGGAAAGTAGCGTGGGCGGAGCCTGATGGTTTTAACCCCTTCAGCATTGCGGGAGTGGGGGCGCGAGGGAGGGGGGCACTGTAGGAACCTATAGTGCCAGGAAAACTGCTTGTTTTCCTGGTACTATACAGGGAGTGCAGAAAGAAGGACTTGACAGGCTCAGAAAAGTCAAAAATAGTGAGATATCTTGCAGAGGGATGCAGCACTCTTAAAATTGCAAAGCTTCTGAAGCGTGATCATCGAACAATCAAGCGTTTCATTCAAAATAGTCAACAGGGTCGCAAGAAGCGTGTGGAAAAACCAAGGCGCAAAATAACTGCCCATGAACTGAGAAAAGTCAAGCGTGCAGCTGCCACGATGCCACTTGCCACCAGTTTGGCCATATTTCAGAGCTGCAACATCACTGGAGTGCCCAAAAGCACAAGGTGTGCAATACTCAGAGACATGGCCAAGGTAAGAAAGGCTGAAAGACGACCACCACTGAACAAGACACACAAGCTGAAACGTCAAGACTGGGCCAAGAAATATCTCAAGACTGATTTTTCTAAGGTTTTATGGACTGATGAAATGAGAGTGAGTCTTGATGGGCCAGATGGATGGGCCCGTGGCTGGATTGGTAAAGGGCAGAGAGCTCCAGTCCGACTCAGACGCCAGCAAGGTGGAGGTGGAGTACTGGTTTGGGCTGGTATCATCAAAGATGAGCTTGTGGGGCCTTTTCGGGTTGAGGATGGAGTCAAGCTCAACTCCCAGTCCTACTGCCAGTTCCTGGAAGACACCTTCTTCAAGCAGTGGTACAGGAAGAAGTCTGCATCCTTCAAGAAAAACATGATTTTCATGCAGGACAATGCTCCATCACACGCGTCCAAGTACTCCACAGTGTGGCTGGCAAGAAAGGGTATAAAAGAAGAAAATCTAATGACATGGCCTCCTTGTTCACCTGATCTGAACCCCATTGAGAGCCTGTGGTCCATCATCAAATGTGAGATTTACAAGGAGGGAAAACAGTACACCTCTCTGAACAGTGTCTGGGAGGCTGTGGTTGCTGCTGCACGCAATGTTGATGGTGAACAGATCAAAACACTGACAGAATCCATGGATGGCAGGCTTTTGAGTGTCCTTGCAAAGAAAGGTGGCTATATTGGTCACTGATTTGTTTTGTTTTGTTTTTGAATGTCAGAAATGTATATTTGTGAATGTTGAGATGTTATATTGGTTTCACTGGTAATAATAAATAATTGAAATGGGTATATATTTGTTTTTTGTTAAGTTGCCTAATGATTATGCACAGTAATAGTCACCTGCACACACAGATATCCCCCTAACATAGCTAAAACTAAAAACTACTTCCAAAAATATTCAGCTTTGATATTAATGAGTTTTTTGGGCTCATTGAGAACATGGTTGTTGTTCAATAATAAAATTAATCCTCAAAAATACAACTTGCCTAATAATTCTGCACTCCCTGTAGTATCCCTTTAACGTACGCGATCTGCAGCTATTGTAAGGCAAGATTACTTATGTCCACAAAGAAAACATGCCTATTTTCTTTAGGTGTATATCTACAACATTTTGGGCGGGTTGTTTTTTGTTTGTTTTTATACGGTGTTCCATTAACAGGCCTCTTTAGACTAAAAGTGATTTCTGTTTTTAAAAAAAATTTTGAACCATTTCCGGGAGGGGGGCACACCAGATGCCACCATGGCCACAGCAAACATAGTCCTCCTGCCAAAACCGGATAAAGATCCCACACAGACATCCAGTTATAGACACATATCCTTAATCAACTCTGACCTAAAAACCTTTGCCACAATCCTGGCCTCACGACTAACACCTTTACTGACACACCTGATACATCCAGACCAAGTGGGGTTCATGCCGGGGGACAGCTCTTCGAGAAAACCCGTAGATGCACAGACTTACTATGGTTCATAAGGGAAGAAGGGAAGCCCTCCCGGCACTCTCATTGGATGCGGAGAGGTAAGTATTAAGGCCCCTGTGTCTTTAAGGGAGACACTACCCTTCTTGTATATAAGTGCAGGAAGCAGTTGAGGGTCCACTTGGTTGGTATTGGTTAAAATAACACTTTATTACATAATATTATTATAATGTAATAAGGTGTTATTTTAACCAATACCAACCCAGTGGACCCTCAACTGCTTCCTGCACTTACTACCTCTCTTGTATATGTCTCCCTTAAAGACACAGGTGCCTTAATACCTAGAGCCTATTATAACTGGCTCTATCAAAGGTGAGCAAACCTATGCATTGTCACTTTGACCATTACCCTACTTATACAAACTTGCACTAGGCTATTCTGTTCCTTTTTTTGTCTCCATATACCTGCAAACCATTGGGCTGAGAATCTGGAGAGGGTTTGGTATGACCTTACATATCCCTGCTGTTGAGACCTGAGCCTATCCTAGAAAGGCTCTGGATATATATCTCCTCTACACCATATCCAGATTTTATTGGCATACTGCACCATTATGTGTTTAATTTCTCTGTTTTAGACAATATTGTCTTTATATATCCCCACGAGCGGGAAAAAGTGTAATCTGACCTCCCCAATATACAGTGGGGTAAGCAAACTTCATTAGCGCTCCACTGAGTGATCCTCTCTTTGGTGGTGTGGTCCACCGAGTTCACTTTTTTGGCATACTTCTTTGTGTAAGGTCGGTATATTTTGCACGTGTGTTGAGCTGCTGTACATTCTTTGTGTGTATCTATTACTAAGTGCTTTTTTACACTGCACAAAGCACTTTTTCTTTAATTTTGAATATATTTTCATTTTTATTATATAATAAAATTTGATTTACACTGTACATAAGAGTGCAGGTATTCCTTTGATATATATTATTTGAGGGAGTGGTGAATATACTCCTTGCATTCTGACAGTATTTGCATGCTGTACATTAATTAGTTAACCCTACATGCCTTAATTTAATTAGTTGTGGGAATTTGCCAGGAGTCGTATAAACATATTGTCCATGTCTAATGATGACCCACAAAAACTGCACAAGAACCCAATTTTGATGCCTTAACCAGGATTTAAGACACTTTGATTTAAGGCATGTGTGGACTCTGTGTTTCAACCTGGAAGTAATTGACATGTGAATGGGGCATCTGTGTAGGTGATATGAATAAAAAGGGAAATAAGGTATAATATCCAGGAATTCATTTTAAATAACAGTATCACTATTAGATGATGAAATGCATTTGTTTAATGTTGGTGTTTTGATAAAGATAGAAACTTAATAAATAGCTGCCTGTAGATTGACAGATGAAAAGGCAACCTCTCATGTAATAAGGAGTTCATACACATGATACTGTTTTTGAATGTGCAAGAAGATCTAAAACAGGCAGGCAACTCAAGATGAGCAGACCTCCTTTCCTGGCATCCAACCAAGTGTCACCATCCAGCCGACTAACCTTTTACTGAGGTTGGCAAAAATATACACAGACACAACCCCCTCTCCAAGTAATATTAAAAAAATATTGCCAGTAAAAAAATTGCGTGCTTTGCGTACTAAATAGTAGAAGTCACCAATTCTATCTTAACGTATTACCCTGAGCAATGACAAGTGCTTGTGTCTATTAAAGGCCATTTAAGTAATTATCTATTAGCCTTAACAGACATTACAATTTAATGAAAACTCTCCCGTAATCATGTAGTCTCCTGCTTCTTTCCAGGGAACATTACTGAAGTAGTTAGAGAGGTCTATGACTTTATTAATCCACAACGGTAACATCTTTATTTACAAATCTCATAGCATTAAGCGTTGTTTCGCTACACCAAGCCATAATTAAAATAACTGATGTATACCGAGTGTTTCGCCACTGAGCTTATTAAAAGGACCTACTTTTAACTGTCATTTTAAAATAAAGGTTAAATGTGACCATGGTTATTTGCTAACATTCACTGTTGCCTTGACAATCCTAAATAAGTATACTATATTAATTGCAGTTGGAGTGACCATCTACAAATTTTAACAAGCTACTTAACAACAAAGAAAAAAACCACAGGGATTTAGACACCTGTTTGTCAAGAATACTTCCCATATCTCCAGGTAACTCAAACGCACGCAACTCTGTTGTGTTCCACACCAGTTGTTCTGGAGTTGGGTCCCTATAGATATATAACACATGGTCAAAAGTTATATTTATGGAGATTCATCTTTTTCAACAACACTCAAAGCACGCAAGCACACAGTCTGTTTAGGAATCACAGGCAGGAGAATTGCCCCTATGCAGACCTCAGAGAGGTCTTTCAACAAGTCATTTTTTTAAATGTTTCCGCTGCTAGAACTAATTGTAAGTGGTCTTATTACAAATTTGGAACATCAATAGCTTAGTGATAAAGTAGTATTTCAGCCATGTTCAGAAAATGAGAATAATCAGTTCTTTGTTGCTGTGTTCGCTGAAAAGTGTAAACTTTGTTTAGAATCAAGTTCAGGACAAGATCTTTTAATCAGAAACATTCACAAAATAATTTTCAATGACATTGGCTAGCATGGCCAAAGTCTCCCTCATGCTGTGATGTGGATCAGTGGAAACAGTTTTTCCGGAGTGATGGTTCATTGTACGGCAGTCCAGCATACAACTCTGGGATCACTGGATGTTGTCAGGAATGATTTGTGACACAAAGGACAGAATGGTCAAAGACAGGCTGAAGTCAATGGCTAAAGGAATATCCTGTGGAACTCGCTTCCCTCCTCCGTTAGATGCTCACCCAGTCTCACCCAGTATCAATTAAACTGTTAATAGCTCCCGACTGATTCCTCTTCTGCAACTGTCACTAGTCTAATACTATCCTTACCTTTTGTGTCATTTTACCCCACTCCCTCTAGCATGTAAGCTCATTGAGCAGGGCCCTCAACCCCTCTGTACCTGTGTGTCCAACTTGTCTGGTTACAAATACATGTCTGTTCGTCCACCCATTGTAAAGCGCTGCGGAATTTGACGGCGCTCTATAAATATCATAATAATAATAATAATCAACACAATCAACACAAAAAAACACCCCAGGACACTGGTCCTACGGTGGTTTGAACATTTCTTGGCATTAGTGGCCTGCATTGTTAAAGCAATGGCAAAACGAGAGTGAATGTCAACATTGAGATGATACTGTGCTTGTAAAACACTTGCATGCACACTCTCACAAATACATGATATTTGTAATATCTGTTGCTCATCGTAGCTATGGAGGGATAGAGGCAGCAATGTTAATTTATCCTGACTTTCTGCTGTCTAATGTGTATGGAGCACATCCTTCCCTGCTGCTCCTCCTCGGGATGCGGTAAAACATTAGACAGGCAGCAGGTGCCAGGACATGGCAGGGCATGCCTGTCACAAGGTTACCATGTTGTGTCAATGGCAGTTACTCAACGTCTAACTCAAGGACACATACAGGTTTGTGGATCAGCCAGCACAAAATCATTTGCCTATCAAACAGAAATAACAGGAGAGCTGCTCAGACATGGCGATTTCAGTGGGGAGAGCTCCCAAATCATCGTTCTGCTAAATGGGCAGGTCTGCTTTTGGTTGAAAGAACACCAAATCTGTATGCCTAATGCTAAAGCACCCTGTTAAAGAATAAGGGTCCCTCTCGCCCCCACCCTTGTAAGGAGTAAAAATGCCCTTTTAGTTACCTTTTCTCCCTAGCAGCACCAGTCTCCGAGCTGCTCTTCCGCCTCTTTGGCTAAGACCATAGAGTTCAATCATCTCAGCCAATCCAGTGCTTTTCCATGTACATTAGTTCCTGCAAAACGGAAATGTTCTCCATTGCAGATTAGAACAGACAGGGACATTGCACACAGACCATTTCATAGAAATTAAGTGTTCTGGGTGCCTGATCTCCAACCCATAGGTGAACACAAGATACATCTTATCACTTTTAATACGTTGTCAAAAATGTGTTGCTAATATGAATGCATACGCTCTTTCCCCATTTCCCATTGTTCAGTATGTGCAGTCTTATAGGGAACCTTTGTTGAGGGTAGTATTCTAAATGATTGATCTGATTCAGATGAAATGGAAAACAATAACACTTTGGAAGAGCTGGATATGTACATTATCTCTTAAGTTCTCTTACAGAGGTTCCATTCTCTTTAGGTTTGATGGTGAACAGATCTCTACATGTTTTTGTGAACCTACAGAGCAAAGCCTAACATTTTGTATTTTATATTGCAGGTCAGGCAATGGGCGGTACTGTCAGCGCTGTGGCAGCCATCATCGACCTATCTGTGGCATCCAGTGTTACAAACAGTGCCCTCGCTTATTTTCTGACAGCGGATATTTTCATTCTCATATGTATCATGATATACCTGATTCTTCCCAAGATGGAGTACTCCAGGTAATTATCTTTGTTACAAATACCTATATAGGTGACCCCAGGTTTCGGTAGCATTGCAGTGCAGATGTGTAACAGTATTAGGAATATGGATACTTTAATTATTTCAGCTAACGGATGGATGTTGCAAGGATAACATCCCTGCTTATCTATCCCATTGATAGGGAACACGGATCCTAAATTGGAGCTTTATTTATTTATTTATATCTCATTTTAAATTACCCTTGTGTAGACATTTTAGTCGTTCCGTTGATCCAACAAAAGTCTACAAAAGATCTACATAGCATGGCCTTATAATGTAGTCTGGCAATTCCTTTGCTCTTTGCTATAGAACACACTTTGAGACACACTTTGTGCACTTACAAACATCATCTTGCTATGTTGTTCATTCTCAGACGACATCTCTATGTGCTTGACCACTTGGGGATCTACAAAGTGAAACCATGCAAAGCATATGTAACGTTATTTCCATTTTTTATACACATAGTGAATGCTGTGATTAATAGAAAAAAAGGTAGTGTAATCTTTTAAATTCAGCCTAATAAGTATATATTTTTGGTAATTGCATTGCATTCTATTTTTGTACTAAATGCTAATATTATAAACTCGGACTTTGTGGTGCTCAGAAAGAATGGCAATAAGATAAAGTAGTCTTTTTTACTCTAGTAATACTTTTAAAATAGGACAACTAATAATCACAAGGAAAATAATTTTATGAATATTAAATAAAAACAGAAAAAAAAGGTAAAACATTGTTTTGCTCATTGACGATGCTGCTGGCTCAGTTCTTGGTGTGTTATAATATATTATTTTGGACTACTTGCTGGACTTTCATTGTGCCTAGTGGAGCCAGTTGAGTAGGTCATTTATCTTGCCAGCAAGTTTGCTTAAAGGATCACGTGATGGAGGCAAAATGTGCCTCCAGCGTTGCAGATGCCCCTCTAGTGGCAATCCGGAAGATGCTATGTTTGCATCTGAAGGCTTAAAACCTGGGGGACCTGGCACCCAGACCACTTCATTGAGCTGAAGTGGTCTGGGTGACTATAGTGTCCCTTTAATCACCAGATCGAAAGTTCAAAACGTAGGTATGCGACTTCTCAAGTACTGAGTCATTCTGGCAGTCTAACTAGTGGAACTGTCCAGAATCTCTTGAATCTTCCCACAATATCCAGAAGGTGATTATTCCCAACAAACATTTAATCCTAGTATTGGTGTCTGTCCTCAAGGCCTTCCAGTTTATTGGTCCTAATGTTTTATAGATTGTGTCCTAAGGATTTTGTTTTAAATTCAGTCATGGGGTGAATCGCTGAGACATATTTCGAGAAAAGTACAAATATCCATGCCTGTTCTCTTTGTTGCAAAAATGTTAGAACGGGTTTTTACTTTCATTGCACAAATGACTAAAAATAAATAAATTAAAATAACATCTTTCAAAACAAAAACCTAAACCCACAGGCCGAAACTCCTAGTTTCAGGCGAAGGTTCCATTTTGCACGGGTTGTTAAGGTTTGCTCTGATCGTCTGCAAAGAGAAAGCAGAAGTGTCACTCAGAGTGAAATTCTGTATAATACTGTGTTCATTTTTGCTAACGCAGGAATAAACATTGATGCTCGGTATTCAGAATTCTGCCTCATCAGCAAACCTCTATATACTATATAAGTATAGGAAATGAAGTATCTTTTTGAACTCATTTTCTTTAAGAAATCAATGTGCACTTGTATATAAAGTTTGGTAACTTTCTCATAAAAAAATGCTATAAATACATTAGAGGTGAGGTTCTTCTACTCTGTATGATTTTAGAATTAAATATATTATTATATATATATTATTATTATTATACGATGTCTATAATTATAGAGCTAAATATAGCTTTAGAATCATTATCTTCATTACTGCCAAATGACAACTTGTCCTAGATTGAATTCTTTAATCACTGCCAATATTGACCATCTCATATTTTTTCTGGGTCACATTAATTCTAACCTAATGTTACGTGAGAGATCAACCCTGATTTATGAGGTCAGCAGTGAATAGTGGTGAAATGAAAGTGAGACTCACAAGTTAGGCTAAAGAGTTTCCACCTATTTTCCGCTCTTTTGGTTTAAGTTGTGCAAAGTCTACTTTCACTTCATCAAAAAAAATTTTTAAGACAGCCTTACTTGGAAGCATATATATATTTTTTGTTTGTTTGTTTGTTTCATTGATGGATTTTGCCCATGTATTATTTATTTTGAAAGCAACAAATTTTAAAGAAGGCAAGAGTGGTTAGTATATAAGTTTATTATTAGTATTATTATTATTACTGCTATTTATAAGGTTCTGCAGCTCTGTACAATAGGATAAAAGTCAAATTGTGTAGTTTTTTATTTTTTTTTTATTTTAATTTAATACAACAAATGAGTTTATTCATCCTGATTTACCATAATAGAACAGTTCATTAATATTTTGTCTCGGGAAAGCACTTTTTGAAAAATGGATTAAAAATGTTTTGTGTATCTTGTTTATACTGCCATCTAGAGGACTGATGGGTTCCTCTCTTACCAAGTGCATACGTGTTCAATAGGACAGCCTGATCTGTTAGCTGTAATGGAGCTAAGATGTGACTTCATCCACAAGCAGTGTAGGCATGGTCCGGGTACTGCAGATTTTACATAGAAAAGGACATTGATATGCATATGTTTTAAATAGGTAACAACTGATCTTAGGCACCTATAGTATTTTGTTTTTTCGTTCTAAATTTCCCTGGAGACTTCTTAGTTTAGAGAGTGATTTCGGCCACAGTATACTTACCTGACACAATGCCCATAACCTCATCAGTGATGCTGACTGCATTTCCACATATTAATGCTTAAGAGGGCACTTAGAGCAGTTGTGACGATCTCTTTGCTTATTTTCAATTATTATCTTACTGATTATTAGATACTTGGGACTAAACTAGCAGTCAATAGTACACATTTATTCATGGCAATCTGCTGGGTTTTACCTGAGTTATCCTGGTTTTGATGGGGGGAAAAACATAGCCTTGAGAGGCACATGTACCTTTTCCTGCCTCCTTGTGGATGTCCATGTCCTCTTCTATTGCACTTTTTGCCCAGAATTGTAGGAGGAATAAGAGGGAGATTTTTGTGGTAAGGGAACATAAAGTACTGAGTCATTTATATATTTAATGTGAAGAATGTCGAGTGTAAAGCTGTCCAGTAATCTGAATATTGTGTTTATTTTTACTTATTTTTGCTTTTTACAGTTATTATATGAATATCTCTGAACGAACACGCAGCATTATATCTGACAGCACTGACCAAGCCGATGGCATTTCTACATCAAATAAGAACAACTCTCCTCCAATAATTCCCATCCTCAAAAAAGTTTCCGTACTGGTCGGCTGCTTGTTCTATACTTTTTTCATCAGCATTATTATCTTCCCATCCATGTCTGCTGGCATAGAATCGATTGATAAGAGCTCGGGGAATGACTGGACCAATAAATTATTCACTCCCTTAACATGTTTCCTTGTGTATAACTTTGCCGACTGGAGTGGACGACAGATCACAACGTGGATCCAGTGCCCTGGACCCAACAGCAAACTCTTACCTACACTAGTTTTGCTCAGAACGTTATTTATCCCCATATTTATGTTCTGTAATTATCAACCTCGGAAACACATATATACAGTAATCTTCCAAAATGACATCTATCCTATAGTTTTCACTGCTCTTCTTGGGATAAGCAATGGATACCTCGGAACTCTGTCAATGGTGTATGGTCCCAAGGTTGTTCCTAAGGAACTGGCCGAGGGCACAGCTGTAGTCATGACCTTTTTTTTAAGTGTAGGTTTGGCTATAGGATCGGCATTCTCTGCCCTTGTTCAACTAATATGAAATGGGAAAGGGGCAACAAAATCTAACTTCTACTCTTACACTGGAAAATTAATCAGCCTTAGTTTTCATATTCCAAGGACATTCGTTTATTGATGCATTCCTGTTAGAAGACTATTTTAATTAGATGCAATTACTTTTTTTAAATAATGTTTTTATCTTTTTTTGTAGTTTTAAAACCATGTATTTTGTGGAACAATAATGACAATAAGCTTCCTGCTATTAAGCAGATCCCAATTTTTTTCCCCCCAAGTTTGTTAAAACTTGTAATACCATGATAATACTTTGCATGTCTCCTCCATTGTATGGCGCTACAGAGTTAATGGTACATTACAAATAAACTAACTATAATAATGTTAATACAAATGTTTTAAATCATTTACTGCAGGGAAGTTGTTACATGTTTGAAGCACCTATATGTGAGTTAATTCATTAACCATTAGTCATGGATTCCAAAATCTAACAGGGTTATCATCTATGATGTTACTGTCCGGAGACTATTGCATGGGACTCTAGAACTAATGGCCTGATTGCCATTGCTTGCAATTTCCATGTATATATGGTTTGTAGATGTTTTTTGTTAGACACCTGGATAAGCTCCAGCGATGTATTGCAAATCTTCCTGCCATCAATTTTGCTTCCCTGTCTCTCCTTTGTCATATCTCTGGATTTTCACTTTCTGTATATGTTGCAATCTGTGTATTCAACTCTTGGTGTGACTGGCATTGTTCCTTTTCTTTTTTTAGCCCTGCTTTACATCAGGTGAATACTTTACGTTCCAATATAGGAGGAGTATACTATCTGACTTGATTTTTAAGTTCAGCATATGCTATTGGTCATCACCCTGAGCTGTCTGGGTTATTTGTAATTTGTACACCAAAACAAGTAAAAAGGCGCTAACCAGTGTCTAAAAATATTACTATATGTGCCAGGAAAAAAAAACTAATCATATTATAATTTTTTTTAAAAAGCAGCTACTTTTAAAGTGCAATAGTTCACAAAACACATTAAATAAACATGAATAGAAAAAGGTGCACTGTGTCTTTAGCACTTGACGATATAAAATCTAGTTTGTTTTAAACACTCTAACAACCTTAATTAACGCATTAGAGAGATTCTCTAGGGAAATGTCCATTGTTATTTCTTGCACAAACCTAGATAGGGGAAGGTTGTTTTTTTACACTTTAATATTATTTTTTTACACTTTAATATTATTGCACTTACCTGCTTCTGTTTTTTTCACAACGTTAGCACTGATAATTGTAGCACAGTACACTTATTCAATTTAGGCACTTTAACTAAGGTCACGTAATGGTATAAAATCTGGTTTGTGTTTTAAAGACACAGTGCACCTTTTTCTATTTATGAGTTATTTAATTGTCAAGCAAATAATCGAAAGAAGCTACAGGCTACTTAGAGCAGGCTTCCCTAAACTCTGGCCCTCCAGATGTTGCTGAACTACAACTCCAATGATTCGCAGCCTATCTATTTCATTCATAGAATCATGGGAGTTGTAGTTCAGCAACATCTGGAGGGCCGGAGTTTGAAGAAGCCTGACTTAGAGGAAGCCAATTGCCTTAAAGGGACTCTCCAGTGCCAGGAAAACAAACTGTTTTCCTGGCACTGCAGGTCCCCTCTCCCTCCCACCCCCCATCCCAAGTTGCTGAAGAGGTTAAAATCCCTTCAGTGACTTACCTGTATCCAGCACCGATGTCCCTCGGCGCTGGGTGAGGCTCCACCTATGCTCCTCCCCCGCCGGCGGGGGAGATCTATTGCGCATGAGCGGCCAGCGGCGTGGGAGACCTAATGCATTAGACCTCCCCATAGGAAATGCTTTCAAGGCTTTCCTATGGGTGTTTTTGGCGACACTGGAGGTCCTCACATAGCGTGAGGATGTCCAGCATCGTTATAACACACTTTTCGTGTTCTATGAACATGGAAGTGTCCTCTAGTGGCTGTCTCTCTCTACTAGACAGCCACTAGAGGAGGACTTAACCCTGCAAGTGTAATTATTGCAGTTTATGAAAACTGCAATAATTACACTTGCAGGGTTAAGGGTAGTGGGAGTTGGCGCCCAGACCACTCCAATGGGCAGAAGTGGTCTGGGTGCCTGGAGTGTCAATTAACAGCAGAATTTTAGAAGACATTCAGCAGGTCTAATAAACTGTTTAGTTTGAAACGTTTAAAGCTGGAAGAGTATAGTACAAATATCCGCACTTAATCGTTGTGTAAAGTCGGCCAATATATCCGACACGTTCCAAGTAAAACACCAAAATGAGGAACTACCATCTTATGTATATCACCACCACATCATCTTCTTCCAAACTCAACAAGCTATTTAATGGACTGGTAATTATACCTTTCTTTATGAATTAAAATGATGTGGTAAATGTAATTATACATATCCTTTACACCATGGATTCTACTGTTTTTATGTATGTATTAAGAGGTCGGGGCAAACCTAGAATCTCATTTCACGGAATCGATTGAAGAATATCAAGTTCTCGGTAGAATTGTTGGGTCAAATAAAATATAATTCTAGATAGAAAGTAATTGGATAGTGGAAAAGGTTAGAAGGGCAGATATAGGAAAGCAAATGAATTATTTCCAAAATTTCTAAATGTAGATAAAGCTAACTAGGACTGCTTGGATATCAGAATGATAGTTGTGGTTCTAGCATGACCTCCAATGAAACTCCAACCAAGAAGTGGAGTTCAGCACAGTTTGAATACATTTGTTGTAAAATGTACAGTTTTAAAAGTGCAAGACTTAAAGAACAATCCTTTCCCCGTAACAAGCTAAATAGAATGAAGAAATCATGCAGAATTTATCATTCTAAAACGTAGGAAGTGACCTGATATAGCTGGCAGCAAGACCCTTTTTAGGGTTGAGTAGAATTCTCGCCCTAGAAGAGTCACGGTCTTATTATTCTGCTAATGTAGCAAACGACCTCTTCTGAACTAATTTCTGGGATGGGAAATCCAAAAAGAAGGTTATAAGAATAAGCTGAAATAAGTAGGTGTATCTTGCCATTCCGGGAGTAGAAATTTCATTCAATTAGACAAAGTATAAGAGAGCTTACGATCAGGTCACAAAGAAAAATGGATGTCTATATTATCGTTTGAGTGTTTGTTTAATTGGATGCATTATTCTGGAGATGGAAATACAGCTGCTGAGGCTAAAATGGAGAAAGAGACATAGGCACCTCCTTAAAGGGATACACAAAACTCTGTGACATCTTGTGTAGCTTGCATAGGTTATGGTGCATGGAGGTCTCCTGCTACTATGACCTTTCTCCTAGCTGAGCTGCCTATAACTGCAGCAATTTGCAAAAATTCCTTCAAGAGGAATCAGAAGATAGAAACATATAGTACAACAATGTGCCATACAAGAACTTGCATCACAGTTTTTGAAAGCAATTAAATAATAAGTCTATTAATGATGCTATTTCTTAGCACAGCAGGGTCTTATCGCATATGTTCCTATTAATAATACGGGAAAGGCAGATGCCAGCTACTTTTTAGCCTGGGCACTGCTCACTCAATCCGGGATATGCAGGATTTTCAAAAATCTGCATCTGTTTATTTATTTTTTTCTCATTTACTTATGCACTTTGCTAAATGCACTATATATATTTAATGTGTTTTGTGAACTATTGCACTTTAAAAGTAGCTGCTTTTTATAATTAATCGAAAGAAATTATATAGTTTAAATTGAACGACATTCTAAACATAAGTAAACACAAAATACAAACTATATTCGAAAATGACGAGATTTGCCTGGAGTCACCTGGCACTGTCTCTCCTTTCAGTGTTAAACCATTTTCGATCAGTTGAACACTGAATGAGGGTCCTTGACTGCCCACCATAGGTTTCAGATTCTTCGTTAGCCATACTAGGTCACATCAGCAGTGGGCGCTGTGATCGGTTGACAGGGGTCAGGCAACACTTATAAACAATCACTGCTGTACATTGCTGCTAATGCTTCCCTATTAACCCGGAAATTTTCCCCATGCACATCCCTAATAGAGGCACACAGTTGCAAGATAAATAGGTGTTTATTCCTACATTTTATTTTTACTCACAAATGCATAGGGTTTTTAATATTATGTTGAAAAATACCCTAAGACATGACAATTTTCGATTTACAGTGAAGCCAGGATTAAAGGGAAATTTTCGGTTCGGCATTCCAAAATTCGGGACTTCGGCAATTTGGGACTTCGGGACTTCAGCCCTTCGGTCCAGTTTGGCATTTCAGAATTTCCCACGGTATTAGGGAGTTATCTACCGAAAGGCTGAAAGACCTAAATTGGTCTTTCAGCCAAATTTACTAATACTAAGTAAAATGTACTTAGTATTAGTAAATGTTGCCCCTACTCGCTATACCACGAGTAGGGGCATGCCTGTGGCTGCTCACAGTTAAAAAAAACCCAAAAAAAACGGGGCCCCCCTCCCAAGCCGCGTAGGGGCTTTTAAACTAAAGGGGGACATATTGCCATATATAGGTAGGTGGGGGCCCTAAATTACTTCAAGGGGGGCGGACCTATTGTCCTCCCCCCTGGCCCTCACCCCTGAGCGGCAGGTGGGGGCCCTAAATAAAACTATAACACCTCCACAGGTGACTAGGGGTCCCCAAACCCCTAATCACCCCCCCAAAAAAAATATTTAACCCCTACCTACTCCCCTCACCCTAAAAATAGTGAGAGGGGACCATTAACTAGGTACCTGAAAAAGAAAAAAGAAGACATCTAATGGTAAGTTTTTTTGTTTTTAACATCTTTTTTCATCCCCAAAAAAGGCCAAATAAAAATCCATATTAACCGACGCACTTTGTAAAAAAAAAACAGAACGCAAACAAAAAAATCCATGTTCACCCATGGAGGGCTCCGTACAAACTTCCCCCGCCCTGCAATTAGGCTCAGAGCACTCTGGTTGGTGGGTTTAAGCCATCCAATCAGAGTGCTCTGACAGGTAAATGAATAGACTGACAGGTAAGTCTCTACATTTGCCTGTCACAGCACTTCGATTGGTTAGCTTGAAATCCAGCCAATCAGAGTGCTCTGTGTCATTTTACACAGCGTGGGAAAGTTCTTTGGAATTTTACCACGCTGTGTAATTTGACTCATAACTCTCTGATTGGTTACTTTCAATCCATCAATCAGAGTGTTGTTATGAGTCAAATTACACAGGCTGCTCACTGTTTAATAGACATGCCCCTACTCGCGGTATAGCGAGTAGGGGCATATTTACTAATACTAAGTAATCTTTACTTAGTATTAGTAAATTTGGCTGAAAGACCAATTTAGGTATTTCAGCCTTTTAGTAGATAGCTCCCTGACACCGTGGGAATTAGGGAGTTATCTACCTATTCATTCCTGTCATTACATTTTATATGAATGTGTGTTACTTGATTGTTGTAAGTGTTGCAAATGCTTACAGCTGAATCCTGGCTATGTTTGAAGAATGTTACACTGTATACAAGTTTAAATAAAAAGTATTCACATTCGGACCGAAACAAATTGCACAAGTCTACTGCTAAATACATGCACACACAGGCTGCTGAATACACACACACATATAGAGTGCATGCACACAGTACACTAAATAAACACACTCAAACACACACAGAGATTGCTGAATAAACACAGACTGCAGAGAGGGGTGCAGTGTATGTGTTTTTATTTAGGGGTGCTGTGTGTGTGTAGGGGTGTTGTGTGTGTGTAGGGGTGTTGTGTGTGAGAGGAGCAATGTGTGTGTGTGTGTGTGAGGCTCTCTCCAGCCCCCAACACCTCTCTCCAGCCACCATCACATATACCCAGGCCCGGACTGGCCATTGGGCATACCGGGCAAATGCCCGGTGGGCCGCAATGGCCGTGGGGCCGAGGCTGGCAGGGGAGATCACATGATCTCCCCGGCTGGCCCCTGCAGGGCCCGCACTATCCGAGCGCCGGCCCTGCTGTGTGCCTTCATGGGCCAGTGGGGAGATCAAAGATCTCCCTCACCAGCCCACAGGCAATTATTACCGGCCACCGGCTGGGGAGTGAGGGAGGGAGGAGAGGACCGGCGGAGCTCTAGCCAGCAGCTCCGCCGGGTCCTCTCACGGGATTCTGAGAGTTGACACGGTTACCGCGGCAACGCTCAGATCTCGCGAGAGTGAACTCTACCCTGAAGGCTAGAGTTCACTCTCACCACTAAGACCACCAGGGAAAGCAGCATGATCCCCCCTCATGACAGAACAGCTCCCCCACCCCTCCCAGGCTAAAGGTAAGAAGGGAGGGGGAGATATAACTTTTTTTTAAAATTATTAATAAAAAATATTTAAATTAAAAAAATTCACACTCACACATAGCACCCAGACACACACAGCACCCTGCCACACACAGCACCCCCAGACAGACACAGCACACCCAGACACACACAGCACACCCAGACAGACACAGCACACCCAGACACATACAGCACACCCAGACACACACAGCAACCAGACACACACAGCACCCAGACACACACACAGCACCCTCAGACAGACAGCACCATCACTCACACAGCACCCACACACAGCACACTTCCACACATATACAGCACACACACACACACACACACATATATATATAATAAATAAACTAACCCTCAGTGAGTTAACAGAACCTTGAATGTGAAGGCAGATAAAAACACCCTCACACACAGCACCCCTCTTACACACACACACGCACTGCACCCCTCACACACACACATTGCGCCACCTCACACATACAATACGTCCAAATATATATATACACACTACAGCACCCCTCACACTGCACCACTACACACTAGATCCCTTACCCTATATGCACTCTTAATCCTCTACACACACACACACACACACAATCTCCTATACACACTCTGAGTCCTTTACACACTAGATCTCCTACACACACACACACTGCCCCTAGTCACACATATTACACCACAAACACAAATGAAATTCACCTATTTACACAATACCATACCACACTCTACACACATGCAATCCCACAAGCAGGCTCCAAACACATGCACCATAAACTTTCCTAGCCCTTTTGTCCTCTGGTATAACACTTGTGGAGACACCAGAGACAATTTAAAAGCAAACATAGCGCAAGCAAATTGCGCTGCGCAGAACAAATACAGGACCTTTTTCTAATTCTAGAGCTCTTCAGCGGAGCTCTGTGCATTGAACCAACATGCTCACTTTGAGAGGGTGGGTGCTTGTCATTAGTGATGACAAAACACACCCTCTCTGGCCCCGCCCCCTGCTTAGGGGGCCGCTCCGATTGAAAAATGCCCGGGACTAATTTTTTTCCCAGTCTGGCCCTGCATATAACCTTACAATCTTTGAAACCCTTTGTATTTGGTGGTTACATAGCCCATGCTTACTATCTATCATAGCCGTTAAAGTTTGAATGGCTATGGACAGATAACGCAGAATTGAATCATGCACATTATTCAAAGAAGAGATGACTGGGTGACTATCCCCCCTTTTTAACCAAAGCCAATGACTGTTCTCACCATAATAACAACATACTATAATAAGCTGTTATGGTGCCAGGAGCTTCCGGGTAGCCCCTGGCAGTAATTTACAAATGGATGAGTACTGTGTGAAAGAATCGCTCTCTATACCGGGTATGAATTGGTATGAAAATGTAAAAATAAATAACTTTTTCAGATCAACTCAGTCCAGAAGGACTGCAGGCACCCAAACACAGCAAGGTAAGTGTCAAACTGTTTATAAATAGTTTGACAGATCACCGCGAGATGGCACCTTGCATTCCAGGCACCATAACCACTACAATACACTGTAGTGATTGTGGTTGTTTGAGTTTTCCTTTAATGTAGACAAATGTAATATTCAAACCAATATGTTTTATAATTAGCTCTTCTGGCCCAGTAGAGGGAGCTGCATGACTTTTAAATCTCGATGGTATCAATATTTTTATTGTGCCCTTGTATTTAGTTTTATTGAATGTGCCGTCTTTGTTAAAACAATATCAGTTTACTGCATTAATAAAAATTTACATATATTTCCAAAGAACATTATATAGTTTAAATTGAACGACATTCTAAACATAAGTAAACACAAAATACAAACTATATACGAAAATGACGAGATTTGCCTGGAGTCACCTGGCACTGTCTCTACTTTCAGTGTTAAACCATTTTCGATCAGTTGAACACTGAATGAGGGTCCTTGACTGCCCACCATAGGTTTCAGATTCTTCGTTAGCCATACTAGGTCACATCAGCAGTGGGCACTGTTATCGGTTGACAGGGGTCAGGCAACACTTATGAACAATCACTGTTGTATATTGCTGCTAATTAGTGATGTCCCGAACTCTTCGCCGAACGGTTCGCGAACGGTTCGGGACATCACTACTGCTAATGCTTTCCCATTAACCCGAGCGGCACAGAGGGGATAAGATGGTGAGGACTCTCCTTACCATTAAACACTTCAAAAACAGTTTAACACAAATACATAGTGACACAAATGTTGGCATAGTAATAATGCATTTGTCTTGCAGGGGTAGACTACCTCTCCCCTGATAAAGCCAGCGTTATAGCTGTAAGAGCATCATGTTTTTATTTTTCCTCTTACTTCCATTTCTTTCACCTTGGTTTTAACTCTAGAAGGACCTCTTTAAAGTATTAAGCGGTAATTACACCTCTTGTGATCTCTCGTTAATAAATTATGCATAATGGTTGCATCTGGGGGATAGGGTTCCACAAAGATAGATATGGACACAGGGGCTGCTCGTGTGAGCAGGATATAGATTGTGTGTGTTTTGTGTTAGTGGGTGGGATTAATGCGACCTCAGAATTTTATATATATATATTTTCCTTATCAGCAGGGATATCGAACTAGTACATTGTTGGAGAACGTGATATAAATTGGCTCAGTGGGGAAAGAAGGCTTAATGGGTAATTTTACATTTTTGACCCTGAATGCCCAGGGTTTAAATAATCCTTAGAAATGTTTAACTCTAATAGATATGCTGCGTAGAGAAAAGATCAACATAGTTGCAATCCAGGAGACGCATTGGAAGTCAGCTGACACCTCTCATTAATTTTGGGAGCTACCCAACGAGGGAGCTATCATCCTTGGATGATAAGAAGCAGAAGGTGGGGGGGGGCATGTCCGGCAAGCAATGAGAGCAGACGTGTGAGCCTCTAGCTCCACAGACGGGCGAGCAAAATCCAATCTAAATCGCAGCCATCCTACATAATGGGAAACAAAAAAAGAGACTCAGCACAGGGCAAAGACCCCAAGAACACGTCTGGGTCTAGATTTCAACCGATAACAAAATATTTCCCCCGAAAAAAATGACAAAGACCCGGAGGCCTCCAGATCCAGCATGGCATCCAGAGCACCTTCACCGACGGCCTCGCAAGCCAGCTACTCGATATCAGAAGAATCAACGTTCCCAGATAAAGACCTTTGGGACATTCTGAGTAAACTACCCTCTCGGGATGATATAGCACACATGCTAACAGACCTGGATAAATCTATTCAGGCCAAACTTTCAGAACTAGGAGTGGGCCTGTGCACCCTAGACTCCAGAGTCCAGCAGATCGAGACAACGGTGGATAACCAAGCCACACGCCTAACCACCGTCACAACACAAATCAAGCAGATAAACCCTAAAATCACAGCAATGCACAGATACTTGGAGGACCTCAACAACAGGGGAAGACGGAATAATATCCGGATTCGAGGTCTCCAGGAGTCAAATGCAGGACCTGAAATTTTTTCCAAGATTCTCACGGACCTGTTTAACACCATTCTGGCCCGACCTAAGGACACTCCAATTAAATTTGACAGGGCACACAGGGTCCTAAGACCCAGGGGCCGACCCGAAGACACACCCAGGGATGTCATCTGCTGCCTGCAAGATTTCTCACTCCAAGAGGCAGTAATGAAACATACAACTCTTCCAAGATCTCTCATGGATCACGATACAGGGGAGAAGAGCTTTGACGCCTGTCACCTTGCAGCTACGTGAGAAACAGCAAAAATACAGAAGGGGATTCCCCTTCAGTTTAACCGCCACTGCCAATGGAACCACCG